CTGACCCGATGACTGAGCGAAAAGTTTTGATATAGCGTAGAAAGTATACTCTACAAACACCCAGCAAGCACAATGCATTCAATAACACAAATCTCGTTTATTTATACGTAAAAGAGACGTCCTTGGGACAGTCACAAAAACAGCACACTAAAATACACAGCAGCCAATCGCAGCCGAGGTTTTTCCTGGTGGGAAATGAAATCTCAAGGTCAACTGATCGGCCCGTGCCCGGAAACATAAAAATCCAAAATTAAGCCGTTTATCAAGCGAGTTCTGAGGATCTAACGTCCTCAACACCCTGACTTGAATCTAACGCAAACTGAAACAGATAGACACATAATAAAGAATCATATACGAATAAGAAGTGGTCTTTCACAGAATGGAATTTGAAAAATACTAGAAATTAGTCTAGTGAGGTTATTGGAAAATTTTGCGATGAAAACGTAGCGAATACAACGTTAAAAGTAACAAGATCAAACTAATTGATCTTAACGGCATAATTTATTTCAGTATTAATTACAAACTTTCAATACTTTTTAATTAATCAAGATTTCCCAAGACAAGTTAATCACGTGATTTCTCTGTTACCTCAGCCTTTGGTAGGTTCGCTTTTCGCCCGGAGTTACCATGTAGGCCGGGGGTTTTGAGGATCAGCGAGTAAGAATGTCTTGAAGAACAACAGAAAGAGATAAGCCGACGACTCAGCATAAACATGGAATGCATTTACATTCACTACAGGAATAAGCAGACAGCAGCCAGAAGTAAATCAAGCATGAGATGAGGACAAACTGATAGACGAAACTAGAAGTAACAACGTAATCCCTCCATACTCGTGCGCTTTAAGTTAACGTGTAAGTGAAAACGGACAAAGAACAGCAATCGAACATCCAATATAGTTTTCACGAGCTAAAATTATTGATTGACTAACCCATTGATAAACTGATTGATTTCTTTGCTCTTGATTCTTGTTCTTTCGGTACGGTTCCAGGTTGCTGTTAGTATGCAATAAATGGTAGTTAAGATACTCGACTTGCAGTTTTTGTATGTCCCGTGATTTGAATGAAAAAGTTTGTTTCAGGGCAGAAGGGTTTCTGAATACCAGCAGCTATCACATTACCAGACTGGAGATCAGTTAGTTACGATGTGGAGAATAATAAGGAGAAAATTTTGATGATAATAAGATTTCAGAACAAAGTAAGTAAATGGGTAATTTAGGTAAATAATTTGCAGCGAAGATTGTGCGAGAGGACCAAAGTGTAAGCAAGGTGTAGTGTGCCGATATGGGCGTGTTCTTACGTTTCGTAATAAGCTCGTTCAGATTGTCTTATCCAAACGACGTCTGACGGTTAATAAATCAGAAGATGAATTCCAAGTATCGTATACGTTTATTGTAGCACACCACAATAAGGATAGCAGACCACAGACAGACCGGGCAGACACACTAGCGAGCGAATATGCGAATGAGCGAATGAATTAATAAGATTAAAATGTTCGTATATATACAAAGGAAAATGTCTGAGTCATCGTGGTATTTAAGAGATTAATATTAAAGCGAATAGGATGCATATGTGCGTAGGCGTTAAGCAATGCTCAGTCATACTAGCTCATACAAACCAGATAATAAAAAATACCAATGGTACATACAAGTTGTTGCTAAGCGAATGGCTTGGTTAAAGAAATTAATCGAAAGGGCTTAAGCAAATTAAATGTAAGCGGATGCAAATAAATGTGGAGGCACTACAAAGGAATAGGAATAAAAGATAATAAGCGAGGTAGATTATGTTAGTGATCTAAAGAGACGACATTAATAAAAACTAGCAAGTCTTAAGACATGCATCGGGCACAGCTGATCATCGAGGGACTCTTCTCGAAGCTGTCCAGTGAGGGGGCTGTGGTCACCTCGGCTGGGATGTCATTTCACGCTGTGACAACTCCTAGCGAGAGAACGTGTGCACGAACTTGAGTATTCCCCTATGAAGCGCACCTAGAGGGGCGAAGTGGTGATGCTTCGGAAAGGCGGTCACGTTGTGGCAACCCGGTTGACTTTGCGTATTTTATGCCATTATCTGGTCACCTCAGCTCGCATACACTCTATTCATCATGATACGAAACTTTCTGTTCTCAAGTTAGTTTCTTAACAAAGATAAAAGTGAATGAGAGAAACCCATCTTGGCAACAATATATAAGAGATAAACTCTTCTGAAATTCTCTTATTGGACTTTTATATATAAGTTGTATTACCTCGGTCACTTATCATAATTTATGAAGTACAATAGGATTCGTACTTCCTTATAATCATATGGTTATTTTTGTGATTTAACTGAAGTCAACAGACGACTCACAACAGTCATGCGAGAACTGTATATTTAGGCAAACCTCTTGTACATGCAAAAGTAAATAACTAGTTATCAAAATGTTTAATGTCATTAAAAGTGGCAACATTAATATTTCAAACAGACGAAAGCTTTGCGCCGGTACTTGGAGGAAAAATCCGACATGAACATAAGGCTGTTGAAAACATTTTTCAACATTGAACTTATGTAGACTTGCGGCCGCGTGAGTTGTGTTGAGATTGACTAAGATCACCACCACAGACCAATTTCGCACCTGTTATAAAAAAGGATTGATCCATACAAATGAATTTATTTGCCAGCGATTTAGTGGTATCGAAAGAAAAACAAAATCGTGCCAGAAAGGAGGGGCGAAATTACCGAAGCACTAACACCAAAAAGGCAGCAATGCAAGCAGAAATTTTGCGCATACAGAGTGGTAATAAGGAGAGGTTCAGTAAACACAATCACCGATAAAACGGTTTCAATAATGAATGTTTCTATTAATATATATTTATTCTCAAATAACTACGTCACAAGAGTCACCATGTCACTGATATAAACAGTATAATACTGCCAAATTAAACCGACTGCGTTCTCTTCATATAAGTGGATTGATTGCAGACTCATGAGAAACATCTACAAACCAATCCATTTCCGGTCTCATGCGTTAACTCGAATCTTCGATTGAAAGAGAGAGGAGAGAGTAGTCCAGACGAAATAAGTGTATTTGCTGGCGACTTTGTGGAATCGAAAGAATACCAAAATCGAGCCAGAGAATTGGCTGAAAGTACAGAGAAGTAAAAGCAAGATGGCGACCGCATGAGCCATTAGACGCATTACGAAAGTGAGAATAAACAAAATGTTCGGTAAATCATTCATTGCAACAATCGTTCATAATAATCATTATTGCTACTTAACCAATGGTGTTTTTCTTCGTAAAAGTAGAGTCACTACAAGCTGCTGAACGAATACTTGGATGTTAAAGATGCAGCTGGTTAAACTACAGATATACCTCCTACGAAAAGTCACTCAAGAAGAACTTTCATGCACCATGGTGTATGCGTTCTAAAATATTATTTTTTCCGCTCGATTCATTCACCTCGTCTCCTACACCAAGTCATTAGTGTTCATTGCTCGTGGACATGGAGACCGGTTAGGTGAGGGTTTTATATACGCTATTCGAACTGTATGAGATATGCTTGAGGCTATTCGACCCAGTCAACATCTAACCTGTTATTAACTCTATTTCTTCATTATCCTTACGCTTTAGTATTCTCCCACTATATGCACTAATCAATAATTGACTATATTATCTGTTGCTTTCTGAAACATTCACCGTCTACATCTTGTGACCCACCTCCCAACTCCAATTTAGACGAATAATTGTTAATGCTATGAAATAAATCTCGCCTTCGATTTCCGTATATCACACTTATGTGAACCCCATTTGTGCGTCACAGAAAAGCCGGAGGACAAAAAGCCTACAAGTAAAGCTATTCGAATGGGAGAAGGCGAGTGATCCAACTAATTGCGATGAGGCATGACCTAGTGTTTAAAGACAGATAAACATAGTATCACATGTAATAAGCAAAGTAAGTAATGCATACATTTAAAAACAGAAAAGAGGTTTCGTGAGAATAATTGCAATTTCGGAATGTATGTGAGTGACTCCAGAAGAATGGATTAATTAGTTTGTTCAAAGGCTTTTGCAACACTTATGGGCTCGGCATATTTGTACACACACTAGATAATTAACCTAAAAATTATCCAATTATTATTCTTTAATTTGAGATCAGCTGATCATAAGCCTGGTAATGTGATAGCTGCTGATATCCACAAATCCCGATAAATATACAAATATCTGTCTAATGAATAAAGTTATTGCAGTCTTATGGCTAGAGTAACACCCAGACACCTGAAGCAGTGCTGAGAAAACAAGAAGTGAGTTGGGAAATGGATACATTGGAAGTGAGTTCGCATAGAATAATTTGTTCTTACCAGCTCATGAAAAATTTACTATATATGTTGAAACAAAAAATTCTCGATTTAGTTCACACTTTTTCTCATTGCGAGTCGTCGCAACTTGGAATTCTCTCACAGCCGAGGAGACCACAGCCCCCTCAGTAGACAGTTTTAAGAAGAGACTGGATAATCACATACATTCGGATCATTATCTCCCTCTTAGTCAAGCTGTTCATGATGCATATCTCCTCAGATAACTTACTTAATCTATTTCGCCTGCTATCTCTGTTTCCTCTCCCTTGTTTACACTTCGGTCCTCTCTCACAATCTTCACTACCAAGTAATGAACTAAAATCACCTATATATTACTTTGTCCAGAATCTTATTCAAATTAGCATTAGAATTTTATCCTTATTATCATTATTACTCTCTACACTGCAACTAACTGATCTCTGATCTGGTAATGTGATAGCTGCTGATATCCAGAGACCCTAATGCCCTGAAACGAACGTTTTCATTCAAATCCCGAGACATACAACACAACTAACTGCCAACTCACTAGAATTATACAATCGAATGGCTATTCACTGAAAACTACCCAACACATGGAACCTTACCGAAATAAGATGAATGGAGCGCAAAGAAATCAACTAGTTTACACTAGCTCGTGAAAAAGATATTGGATATTGGATAGTGAAGGTCAGAAATACATCAAAACGGTACGTTACTTTCATGCCTATTCTTACTCTACTACTTTGTGGTTGTCCTTTGAGATTTTTGCCTACAACTATGGAATTTAAACACCGCCATCATATCTGTTTTTCTAGCATCAAGATGTACAGTGGCTTCCCGGAGCCTTCTAGGTTTATAATTCATAGGGTCAATAAGGAACTTTCTGCATGTTCCCGGACGAAAAGTTATCAAAGATAATGTCGAAATGGAAATGTTCGACAAGTACTGTGCATTTTAAACCTAAGTGAAATAGCCAGTCAATTGTTTTACACACTTCACTTAGATGGTGTTAATTCCACATATATAGGTAGTCTCTAGGTCAATGTTTTGAGTCATTGTTCACGACTGAGTTGTTTGTATACTAGGAGTCTCGTGCGTTAGAACTTTGTGGGGTCTTAACTATACCTCCACTTTAGAGAATAAGTTACTGACCATAAACATTTGAACACTGGCTGCTGTGTTCACTTCCATGTGATTCTGTGTTGTTACTACGCTTTTTGTCTTGTCAGCTAGCGAAATGTGAACCTACTGTTTCATTTTATTACAAATAATTATTACGATAGTGGGCTAGGAAATGTATCTTGCTTAACAGTGAGTCAGTCACTTTAAAAATTGAACATAGAATTGTACTCTGAATACTTATTAAAAGATCTGGGCTGTATCTCATCAGTTTTTTTGCTTTAAATCACATTTGAAAAACAAAAGTTATAATATCTTTTTGTCCACGCTGAATAAATTCCTATGCAACCTCCAGTTTTTCCGAATGCTCTTAAATACAAGTGATTCTCCTCGGGCAATAATCGTCGCAAACAAGTTCATAGTCAGTTGACAGATAGTTGATCTCACTCATCAAATATACTTCATATGTTCTGGTTAATACACTTTTAGGAAACAAAAAACTGTGTCCAGCTAAATTATTTTTTAACATCAACTTTATGTTTTAGAGATTCACTTATTTCTAGCTTTTTAAACTAAATGTACAGTTTATTTTCCTAGACAGAGGTAGCTACTCATATGTAGAGTACCTGTTGTGAGATATTAAGTAATGAAGTAACTAGGTACGCTATGTATCCTCTCAATGGTCCTATAATTTTGTGGTGTCTACTACTTGACAATCTCAACATGTCCAACCACAAAATCGAGGGTTTGAATCTAGATATAATTAAAAGCCCCTAATCAGTTAGTGCGCCTTCAAATGTAATCCACCTACTATGTGTGGGCTCGTTTACCAAACTACGAGCTTTACATTATTGTGCACTTGATGTTTCTGTTTAGTTACCTAATCCCGTAGTCTATATCTTAGTGGTTGCAAGCCGAATACCAAAAGTTTAGTGACAGCATAAATTTGAGTATACGTGTACTTGGTTGCTGCTAACTAAATAGCAGCTTCGCCTGACAGGTCTCTGCCTTCCTCATAGTCTTGAAGAAATAATAAAACTGCTAAATTGGAGGTCGGCTTATAACTGTAGCGATTGCTCTTATTTTCTAAGCCGTAAAACAATATTTTGGATCAACCATTTCAAGTGTCCTAAAGATCCTCTCAGTATTTCCAAGGAATAATTTCATTATCCTTCCTAATACAAATCATTTTTTCACACCTATCAACTGTATGAAATGCTATGCGAATGTGCTGACCGTTGCTAATAGCCTAGAGCCTGAATAACCTTTAAATGTTCATCCTTTTATTACATTTATATTCGTTTACTTCATATTTTCCATTCTATTTACGATTCATTAGAGTAGATCTAATATCTTTTTTTGGCTTAATTGGAGTTCTTTTCATTCACTAACTCATCAAAAATAAGCTTTTAATGTTTGTATGACCTAAACTTTAAAGAAAGTCATTTCGAATCGTTCATATGCAATTTGACCTCAGCACGAATGTGCGTTGGCCTAAGATGTCATACTTCATCATCACAGTGAGACAAAAATGAGAAGACGAATTCTGAAGGAGTCGTAGTAATAATACTCGTATAGTTGCTGGCCAGATAGGTTGAACACTGATGAATAAGGTTTGAAAAGAAGGGATGTATTCGAAAAGTAAAAGAGAACAAACCCTGGCTTGATAGTCTGCATCTGCTAACATGACTTAGTCCAACAGTCAATAACTTTATAGACTAGTACTGCGTCTTGATTTAGCCATCCTTAGTTTTCTCCCAACCCATTCCTACCCTACTCTATGTTGTTCATTTAAACATACAGTAGTTGGCGTACATAATAAATGTCTAAGTTACTTCAATGTATTTGTCACCTTTGTCAAGTAATTAACATCTAACTTAATCACTCCTCACTCGGTTTGTCACGAAGTGTGAACAGTGTTTTAAAAAGCATTTAAATTTCCATAGCAAACATAGATTGACTCATTTCTTTTACGCACTGAGCTAGATATTGTTAGGAAACGGGGACTAGTTAAGGATGGTAAACCACTTACTGAAGTAGCGAATGTTTTCTAGTTGAGGTGGTTGGTACATGTGTTACGTCTTCCCAATCACCAACTTCTCTGACGAGCAATACCTTGTGATATAGGAGTAGGTTGGAAGGAAGCTAGGGACGTCCAAACCAAAACATGGCACAAATCCATGAAGTAACTGACAAGTGGAATGAGCCGTGTTGGTAGATGTAGACTACTTGGTTGGGGTGTGCGAGACAATCATAACCAGTAGTTAGGGAATTTGAATGACATGACTCGAAATCATTTGCAATGGCGCAGATGCATCCATTGTTCGTTTTCTCGCAAATCCTAATCTTCTGAATTCCTTGTCACCTTTATCTTTTTATTTTCAAATTTACTCTACTGAATTTTACTTCTTGAATAATATCTTTGAACCCGAATCTCTTCCATTACCACTAATACTTCTACTACCTCTACTACTATGGAATTTAAATTGACAATTCGGTCTCTGTGCTAATGTGGTATGGCAGCTTGAACTAATGTACGTACTTACGAAGTCCTACGTTGTAGCTGACTGATTGACTAAACCTAAAGACTGACATAAAACAATCCACTTCTCGCACTCATTTTTACTGTTTTTGACAAATCATTTTGGTTCATTATGTACGATTTGATTCATTTTCTCAATACTAAGTGATGTTTTTCTCTCCGTTTATTTGATCCTGCATCACAGATGTCATTTCGTGACTCAGTAGATTATGCATCCCAAGATCGCATCAGTCAACTTGCTCGTACCTATTGGACTACAACTCAGCAGTCATTAGAAAATAACCATTCATCAGCATGTCCAACAGATGTATACAGACCTTTTCAATCACATGTGATGGAACGGATTTATCGCCAAGAGTTACTGGCATCTGGATTTTCACATCGTCGATGTCTAGCTCTTGAAACGAATCAATACTTAGAACAATGGCTTTGGCCACATTTTGAACCAAATACTAGTAGCCGTGCTCATGTCTTATCAATATGTGCAATGGTTAATGAAAAAGCCCGTGGTCGTGTTCCCATATGGCCGGTTAGTATTACAATTTTTATAAATAATGGTTTTCGCGAACTGTTTCAGTTAACCAATTTTATCATATATGTATATACTCACAGAGGTAATGTCCAAATACTGTTTTACAAGATGACACAAACCAAAAAGATACAACAACCTTGTTTTATTTTGATATTCAATTACCAAATCATGTGCGGCATAAGCAGCTGTGCAAATTAGCTTGTGTTTAATAGTTAATGAGCACGCAAAATAAGTTTGCATCAAAGTCTGACTTCAGCTGAAAGAACCATTAATAACTAGGGCGAACTAAACAGCTTTTTTACAGCATGGAACTCTTCATAGGTATGTGCACTCATATAGAACTCCCAGCCAGACCTTGAATGACATGGCTCAAAATCGTCTCCAATAGCGCAGGTGCATCCACTCTTTGTGTTCTCTCAAATCCTTATCTTCTGGATTTATCAACACCTCTACCTTTGTCTTTCTAACCTCATCTCACTAAATCCTACTTCTTGAATAATATCTTCAAACCCTAGTCTTCTTCATTACCATTAATACCTCTACTATCTCTATCACTATGGAATTTGAATTGACAATTGCGTCTCTGTGCTAATGTGGTATAGCAAATTGAACTGATGTACTTACGTACGAAGTTCTACGTTGTAGCTGACAGAACTCCCAGGCATCGAAGCCTGAGATGAAATTTTGTCAACATCTAACATAAACGTAATTTGAAAAAAATCCAATATTTGGATGAGTATTTCATACATCCTCCATATGGAATAGTTGCATTTATGTCTGGGATAAAGTTTTTAGGACTTTTTTCCGTGTTTTAAATTGGACTAATTACATATCACTAGTTGAATTTAGCAGATATACACTAAAAACCAGTCCATAGTTAGAATTCCTAAATTCAATCTCAAGTACGAAAAAAGTAAAAGACTCATTCCTGTACCGTTATGGTATTCATGTCAAATTTCTAAATTTAACTAATATGATTTCCTATAAATTAGATGTAACTTCACCTGACAAGTACCAGTCAGTGAACTCAGCCTCATGCTATTCTATTTGTGACAGCTAATAATAATGGCTACTAATGACTGGTTCCCCAGAACATAGTGAAGCGTGGAAATCTACTATCTGAAAGCTGAATTCTTTAACTTCTAAGTCACCACCTCCCAATGGCTTACATGCCATAGTTTTTCACTAATTGAACAAAATGTTTATACTCTATCAACAACATCAATCAGAAAAGCATTGTAAGGCAAGTAGTATGAATCAGTGTTTTCTTTCAGTTCATGACACATAGCCCTAGATTGTGAGTTAAACAGCTTTTCAGAGATATATTTGAGTAATAGCGAAAATTCATTACTCAAAATTTCGTTGAATGTTTCATGATACTGTGGTGCGAGCTGCTTATAAGTAGTATATGATGTGAGTGTCAACGTAATGTCTGACAGCAGAAGATGGGGTAAGATCAAGGAAGGAAGAGTTAGAACACCAAATGGAATTTGTATGAAACGCATGAATAGTGACAATGGATTGATGTTTTGCAACAGGAACAGTCCAGTTCGATATGATGGACTGATATTTTGCAAATGAACGATTTACGATATGGTTTTCCGATTTTACTGAGTAACTCTGTAATTTGCGTTAAATACAATCCGGTTGCCCCACCTGTGTTTTCGTTCACTACAATACCAATAACTGTTGTTATATTGTTTAGTGATATGTTAACACTAGTTCATTATTAAGCACAACTAATAATTCGAAGTTTAGAGATTCTAACACTTATCATCAATGTATTAAATCAAATCTCAGAAGCAAATACTCATATTTCTGTCCTCAAATAGAACACGAAACATAACATCGAACTTAAAAGTTTCTGGAATGATTTTAGTCTTGAAATGATCACATTCTCTTTCAAGAAATAAGTGTTAACCTGCATCTATATATATATATATATAATATTTCGATTACTTTTATATAAAAATTGTTTTTCTTTTCTCTAAATATTCTAGACTTTTGTAGCTACAGCGGATAAATTTAGTGGACTTATTCAAAGAGTACTACATATTCTACTAGATGAATCATCACAAATATTGACAGTGAATCCGCTACTCACTGAAATTATTCAAAAGTCTACAAATGATGATAATCATCATCATCACACTAATCATAATAATGCAGAACAGAAACAACAAGATACTGATCAATCATCCAATTCAACAGAACAAAAAAAATGTATTCTAGAACATATAGTCCTGATTATTTTCTTATCACATTGTTTTACAAATCTAGCTGAAGTCGGTGTATTACGACGTAGTCTTCGTGAATTATACAGTTTAGCTATTTGGCAAGATCATCTTCAACCGAATCGTTTAAGTCTTGAATTAAAAGCTCATCCACGATATGCTCGTTTATTGAAAAAATTACAAAAATATCGTGATACAAAAATTTCTCCTATTGAACGTGATAATATGATATTTCAACATTCATTTATTCCACGTATTTTGGATGTATTTTTAACTTTGTTAAATTCAATACCTGAAAAAGATGAAGATAAGGTATGTAAACTATGAATGTTTAATTTAATCATTATTTATTTTTGTAAATAACCTTATTAGAAGTGAAGTGAATTCACTTTGTTTTACATGTATTTAATCTTTAACATTCTAAGTTGAAGAAGTCTTCCATGGTTTGGGCAGCCGGGAAGTGACAACCGCCCTCATACCCGTAACAGCACGAGAGACTAAATTGATCGAAATCAAATCCTTCCTACACCCACACATACCTCTCTTCTCTCCACAACTAACTCGACTCACATTCCGTTATCTGATTGTACCGCTAATGCAAACAATTCGATCATTAGGAAACGGGTGCTAGGTAAGAATGGCAGATCAATAGACGCAGTAGTGACACTTCATCAGTTGAGGTGGTTGGGACATGTGCTGCGTATGACTAACCACCAACTGCCTCGTCGAGCTTTGTTTTGTAGTGTAGGAATAGGTTAGAAGAAAGTTAGGGGCGGCCAAATCAAAACATGGCACAAATCCATGAAGTCTTTGACGAGTGGACTTAGCCATGTCGGTAATTGTCGACTACCTGGTTGGGGTCCGCGAGATGATACTTACCGATGGTTAGATACCCTGAATGACATGGCTCAGAATCGTTCGCAATGGCGCAAGTGCATCCATTCGTTGTGAGCTCTCAAATCCTAATCTTCTGGGTTCTTCAATCCCTCTAGTTTTGACATTCCAAACTTTTCTCACTGAATCATACTTCTTGAATAATATCTTCTAATCCTAACCTCTCCGATTACTTCTAATACCTTTACTACCTCTTCTACTATTGGATTTGAATTGACAATTACTACTCTGTGCTGATGTGGTATGGCAACATGAACTGATGTACTTGTGTACGAAGTTCTACGTTGCATCTGACTGAAGTTGAAGAAGTAAGTTAAAAAAGAACTCTGTACAGGTCCAAACTGGGAATCATGGCATTAGGCTATGAATATGTTGACTATTAGCCGCCTGACAGACAGATAGATACAACGCAGAACTTCGTACGTAAGTACATCAGTTCAGGTTGCCATAACACATCAGCACACAATCGGCACTGTCAGTTCAAATCTAAGAGTGATAGTGATAGTAGAAGTATTAGCAGTAATGGAGAAGATTAGTGTTCGAAGATATGATTCGAGAAATATAATACAGTAAGATAAATTTTGAAAGAGAAAGATAAAGATTATGAGGAATTCAGAAGGTTACAATTAAAAACCACACAAAGAGTGGATGCAAACGATTTTGAGCCATGTCGTTCAAGGTCTCTAACCATCGGTGACATACGTCTCGCGGACCCAAACCAGGTAGCCTAAATAGCTTGAACCAGGTTGATAAGCGCAGACTGACTACCTTTTCGGGTTCTTTGTGATGATTGTGATCAATAGTTATGTATATTAGGTGAAATGTCTCGAAATTGTTCTCATTGGTGCGAGTATTTATGTATTCTATATCATTGCCTAGATCATACTTCTCTGTATGTTGTCACTTCATTTGTTTATTTTCAAAACATATTTCATTGACATTACTGTTATTTTGACTCATCATCTTATTCATTCTGTCGATTTCACCTCGGCATAGTTTAATCGTATGATAAATTAATCCGATAAACATTTGTATTAACTCCTGACTGACCGACTAAATAATATCATTAATTCGAAGTAACAATGAATTAAATTCACTCACTAAAACAAAAAAATTAAATAATTAGATAAACTTATCAAATCGTTATCTTTTCAATTATTAGTGTAGCTATTTGCATACAAGATCAGTTTCCAATTTACATAATTATGCTCTTCTAAATAATGAAACGTTATTCTCTCCGAGTCGTCTCGGAAGCATTGCTCGTGTATGATGGGACAACCGTATAAGCAATGCTGTCGTTAGGAAATGAGTTCTAGGTAGGGATGGCAAATCAATAGATGAAGTAGTGAAACTTCAACAGTTGAGGTGTTTGGGACATGTCTTACGTATGGCTAACCACCGACTGCCGCGACGAGCTATGTTTTGTGGTGTAGGAGTAGATTGGAAGAAAGCTAGGGGCGGCCAAACCAAAACATGGTAGAAGTTCATGCAGTCACTGACAAGTGGACTGAGTCATGTTGGTAGATGTAGGCTATCTGGTTGGCTCAGAATCGTTTGCAATGGCGCAGGTGCATCCACTCTTTGTGTTCTCTCAAATTCTAACCTTCTGAATTCCTCATCATCTCTATCTTTCTCTTTCTAAATTTATCTCACTGAATTATACTTCTCGAATCATATCTTCGCTCCCTAATCTTCTCCATTACTGCTAATACTTCTATTATTGCTATCACTCTTGGATTTGAACTGATAGTTGCGTCTCTGTGCTGATGGGGCATGGCAACCTGAACTGATGTACTTACGTACGAAGTTCTGCGTTGTATCTGTCTGTCTATCTTCTACACATCTTCTAATTGTAATCTGTTGATCATAAACAAAACATTACAGTCACTGAAAAAAGTCTAGTAAAACATCACAGTAATTCACAAAGAGGACCCTACTTACTACTCTTACCGAAACTTATCAGTGCAGCTACGGCCAAGTTTAAACAGACATCCTTCATCAGTGACCAACCCCTCATTGTAGTGATAAATTATACATTTAAGTCAACCACCAGACAATTAAAAAAAGTTAATTAACTTGAGATCTAATTCTAGTGGATTATAAATCACTTCCTTGGTTAAAACCAGATCTCTTTTCAATGCCTACTAGTATACACAAAAGTTCGATTCACTTTTCTTGTTAGATTTGATTTAAAATAGAATAAAATAATAGTACCTCATGTTATGTAAAGTATTGTCCGACTATGTTGAATTCATTTAATTCCCTCTTCTTTTCCTCTAATTAAAGCCTATAGAACCTTTGTTAATTCACTACTTGGAACGTTTCATCTTATTGTTAGTTGATTTGGAAAGTATGCTATTGACACGTCGAATATTAAATGTTATTCTTGACGATAGGCATATTGTTGTATATTGTCAAAAATCTGCGCTTATCAAACGTCCAGATGGAAAGTTATTTTCTGAATTGGTTGATTTATTAGCTTTCTATGCTCATTTTCATATTGATGAAAGTACTGGTGAACCATTGGATGAATCAGAAATGGATAAAAGGTAAGTGTGTGTTTTTTTATGAAAGAAAATTTTCATTTGAGTTAGTGTTACGCTTGTACGTAAACACGTCTTTTTGATATGTTTGAACTATTACGAGTTTACCTAGTCGGAAAACGAGAACGAGGATCCGGCGACACGACATGCTACTCAAATCCGATTACCCCAACCCTCATATTGAGTGAAAATAAGAAGACTTGAATATGAAGTAGAACCTGTATTCTACATGCATCCAGAAAGTACGAGGTCCGAATCCAGAAGAGAATCGGGATCCCGGACTAGGGATCCTGGTCATAAAACGTTACAGATAATGTATATTTATACATTTTGGTCGAATGAGAAACAGCATCGAAGTCTGTGACATTGACAGTTAAGACGACCAATAGGAAGTAACATTTGGAGTGACATTGATAGACAGGACAACCAATAAGAAATAACATTGGAGCATGTGACATTGATATCTAGGACGACCATAAAATTGACCAGTAGGAATTAACCAATAATTCTCTTAGGATATTGGATGAATATCCTAACAGTTAGTTACATTTAAATTTTTGATTTATGGATTGGATGTCCATCAAAACACAAAACTTTAATTGAATTTATTATAGTTTGAATGATTCCTTTATGGGTGTTTTTGACTGATAATGGATCAGTTTTGGTTAGTGTATATGCGTTCTGTGCTCATCACCTTCATTATGACACTAGCCTATATACAGTAATTGCAATTTATGTGGCAGTGGAATCCAAGATGTACATCTCATCCCATTTGGGACTCGTCAGGCTGGATGTACCGTTACAAAATATATTAAAATTTGAATCTGTTGTACGAGTGAATGGCGTTCTGGACTCAATAGCTAAGTAAACAATACGTGTACGTTTTGAAACAAAGGGTTTTGGGTTCGAGTTGTGGAGTAAACACCAACTCTAGGATACAGGTGCATCTAGTTGATACGTTCCAATCGGGACAAAACATGCCTCCTAGGCTCCACTGCTAAGCGCATTCCATTTCTTCCAAACAGAATTCCAATGTTTGAAAAAGTAGATACTGGTATGTAGTTTTGTTAAAATGGTAGCTCAGCAATTAGGGTTTTTAAATTTCACATTAAAATCTCCTTCCATTCGTTTCCGTTTATCTAACCAGATAATGATTTTAACCCTCACATCTAGTGTGTGGCTTAGTGTACGTATGTTTATACTGTGCTGTTATGGGCAGTTGTCACTCCCCGGCTGCCCACACCGTGGAAGGTTGTTTCTTGAGGAACCTGAAAAAGAAGGTAGATTAGTGTTGGTCTTAACGACCTGGGAGCGTGACCGCAGAGCCCAAGGAACAACTGCTTGAGGCCGGTCACGCAAGGCCTTTTATGAAGGGTTTTTTGAGTATTAGCTCCGCTCTTGAAAGCCCTTAGTTGGCACCCTTACCCAAGGAGACGGAAATCCGTGAGGTAGGGTGAGGTGTGACATTTTTATGGTCGACCTTTTCTAACCCTTCCTTCCTTGTGAGAAGGCAGCATCGCTGCAGATGCTGGTTGTCCGACGGAAACACCTTACTGCTCTCACACCCCTCTGCAGTCAGCAGTACGACTTCGCCCTCAGACCTTGGGTAGCTGCTTTTAGTCTCATCGTTCTCCAATCGACCAGCCTGGCATGGTAGAACCTTCAGGAACATAAGTTCCAGCCAATATAGCTCGTTTGAGTCATCACGATAGGCAAACCCGACCACCACATCAAGGTAGCAGCTTCGGTTGGGGTATGTTTATAGTAGATGAGTTAATAATAATAATAATAATAATAATAATAGTAATGGTAGAAGTTTCGCCAATGTTATGAATATATCACAGTGAAACAGTTAGTTGTCAATACTTCCACTATTCATTACCATCAAATTACTTTTCTAATCCAATCACTTTTTTTTATCTGTTAAAAAAATATTTTTCCTATTCTCTTATTTATTTTATAGACATTGTGCTAAACTAAGTAATTTACAATTGAAAACATTTGCATTGTATAAAGATAAACTGTTATCATTTTGTGTTTCACATCCGGCTGGTATTGAATCAACACAATTATTACGTAAACATTTATCAGTATTAGATAAAGATCAATTGCATCAATTAGCTTCATGTTTTGGTCTTGTTACATTGAAAAAAGAATCTATACAAAGCAGGAGTATTGAATATAATGAACAAAATAAGATTGATGAGAATGGCGATCATAATGATGATGAGAATGATCAATTGCCACCTTCAAAACGAATTTGTTTAAATGATCAACATGCGAAGGAGTTTAGCTTAAATTGTCTTCGAGATAAATTAGAAGCTAAACTAATGGATAAAGATTTGATTATTCGTGTAAGTACTTGTTGTTCATTGAATTTTTCTGTTGTTATCTATCTGTTCAATGAATATATACAAACTGGGCGGTTTCTTTTTGTATTTCTGATAAATTTGGTGTAATATCCTCAAGTCTTGGAAACGGAAATCACTATAATTCTGACGACGCACAATGCGTACAAAAAGGTCGGTACAATATTAGGTGCATTGACTTTATGAAAAATAACTTTTGGAGTTCTAGTGATCAGAAGTCGTGACCAGTAGTAGAGTTCAACCGTGTCGGATGTAAAGACAGTTACCCATCTGACAGTTCAAATCACATAGTGGTAGAGATAGTAGAAGTACTAGCAGTAATACAGAGGATTAGGGTTCGAAGATATGATTCGAGAAGTATGATTCAGTGAGATAACTGTAGGAAGATAAAGACAGAGATGATGAGGAATTCTGAAGATTAGGATTAGAGAGAACGCAAAGAATGGATTCACTGGCGCCATTGCAAACGATTTTGATTAATGTCATTCAAGATGTCTAACCATCGGTTACTATTGTTTTGCTGACCCCAACCAGGTAGTCGACACTTACCAACATGACTCAATCCATTATGAACAACTCAAGAATGATGCTAGACCTGGATGGATGGTTCACCGCACTAGTTGATGAAAACATTAAAGATGCATGTGTGGCTGAATGCCCAATACACAAATGTATACTTGTTTATAGAGTTGCACCACACTTTTAACGATTCGAAATGACTTTAACATACAGATAGGTTTGTACCGGTTTCGGGCTCAATAATCGATAGTGCAGTGTCATCAAAGTTAATTATTTATAAAATATAAAGTATATGTACGCAGTTATGATGAATCTTCACATTAAGGAAGATTCTTTAAAAACCCCATTTCCAACCAAGTTAGATTGTTTTGTTTAATGTGTTTTTAGGTATGTCCCATATAAAAATACTTCTTACTTTTCACAAGGGCCATCTTCATTTATCATTGTTTCTTGAACTATTACTATCGAACTGTGTGAACTAGTCGGGTTTTTATATCGTGATGACTGAATTTAGCTATCTTGGCTGAAACATGTGTTCATTAAAGTCCCAACTTACCAACTAGGTCGATCGTGAAATGGTGACTAAAAGCCGAGAACTCATTCCCAGATAATGACGTCATACTGTGAACTGTATTACGGTGTAACTACATCAATATACTTTTCCCTCAAACAATCAGCATCCATTGATCCTAACAATAGCATGCTTCACTTAGCCCTAAAGATTCTCACTTTTCAAAAGTCCCTCAAGAGGAAGCATCGTTGCATAGTACGATCAACTAGGAAGTGACAAATGTTGTCACAATTCATAACACTTGCGAATATTCATGATGGATTACAAATGAATACATAAAATAAATTACCAACAGTTCTTGTTCTCTTTTCAACAAGCAATAAACAGCTCACTAGTGCTTTTTGAAATAAACATATTCTCTTACTTCTTTTATAGATTTTAATTCATCATTTTGCTCGTCGTCAATCCGAATTAGAATATATCAATAGTCTGTCATTATATCCTACAGAAGATCTGATTTGGGATGAGAATCGTGTACCGACAGAATATTATTCTGGTGAAAATTGTTTAGCTTTACCGAAATTAGGCTTACAATTTCTAACGTTACAAGATTATTTACTAAGAAATTTCAATTTATTTCGTTTAGAATCAACTTATGAAATTCGACAAGTACGTTAATAATGACCAACTTTGTTTTTGTTTGTTTGTTTTAGTTACATTTGTTCGTTTGATTATATTTATTTTATTTTCGGGCAGAGTTTGGGAGGTTTTGTGTTTTTTACACATTTAAAATCATCATCCGATGGTTAGGCGTTCGCGCACAATACCGAAGGTCACGGGTTCGAATCCTGCGAGGTGCAGGAGTCGTGGATGCGCACTGCTGATGAATCCCATACCAGGACGAAACGGCCGTGTTTCAGTGCTTCCAGGTTTCTAATGTTGGTGATCTAAGAATGACTGATTGATTTCAAATATTTATTTTAGTTAAAGTGTCTATTAATAGCTTAATCATTTTAATTACAATCGCTAATTTAGGCAAGCAGAAGACAGCGGCATAATTAGATAACTACTGAAAAACACGAAGCATTGGACGGCTTCTTTGTCTTAGTATAAGACCCTTAAACAGTACACATTCGTAACTACATTGGTCCAGATTGCTGCGCCTATATATTGTAATATTAAATGGACCTATTCAGAGAAAAAAGTGGGATGATAATAAAAGTAACAGTCAGTCAGTCAGCTGCAACGTAGAACTTCGTACGTATGTACATCAGTTCAGGTTGCCATACCGCATTAGCACAAAGACGGAAATGTCAAATCAAATCCCATAGTGATAGAGATAGTAGAGGTATTAATGGTAATGAAGAAGACTAGAGTTCGAAGATATTATTCAAGAAGTATAATTCAGTGAGATAAGGTTAGAAAGACAAAGGTAGAGGTGCTGATGAATCCAGAAGATTAGGATTTGAGAGAGCTCAACGAATGGATGCACTTGCGCCATTGCAAACGATTTTGAATTTCGTCTTCAATGGTTACTTTTTTTAATTTTTTTAATAAAAGTAACAGAGAATGGCTGAAAAACTATGCCAAGTTAGTGAGAGGAGAATAGATAAATATCAGTAAATAATATGCCCAATCTTCGCTTAGTATAAACACTAAATGTTTGCTAGGACATTGTCCAGGTGCCCCGACTGTAGTCGGTGGTCTTCTTAGGGGGCTTCTTCCTGAGCTTTGACATACATGTCTAATCCATAAGGTAGTGGAATAATGTCAAGAGTTGTGACCTCATGTTAGTGGTTGGCTGATAATAGATTCATGCACTATTTGTCCCTTCAGACTGCTGCAACCTATGCTCACCATCCCTTTTGAATTATGGTTTTCCAACTCTTCTAGATGAACCCTCCGTATGTTCACTTTTTATCCTTTCACTTTCATAAATAACACCCTTGCCACGTGAATGCAGTGATCTGGATCTCCCTGACAGCGCCTGTTCACGCGTAGCTATATGAGAGGATTCGAAGAGGGAGAACAGATTCTTCCCATTCTCGACCGTACTAAGATAGAACATTTGTGGGTTACACTAAATGCACTATAACCTGCTCTGATTTGTATTTTTCTTAATATCTTCACTACAAGTTTTTATTATTTTACGAACCATATGAGCTAAAAGGCGTATCTCTTCTTCTTTCAAACAATTTATTGATGTTCTCATGTACTATATCTTGGACTAACTATATTAGCCTGTTTTCATCCTTATACTACTGTAGTGAAGGAAAACACAGGTGAGAGCAACCGAACTGTATTTAACGAAAATTACAGTTTCTCAGTAAAATAGGAAAACCATATCGTAAATCGTTCATTTGCAAATCTTCAACCAATCATCAATCCATTGTCTGACATTTCACTATTCATGCATTTCATACAAATTCCATTGTGTTTCCACTCTTCCTTTCTTGATCTTCCCCCATCTTCTGCTGCCAGACATTACGTTTACACTCGCGTCATATACTACTTATAAGTAGCTCGCACCACACTACTACTCACTTTAATCGAGATTGCCTACACTCATCGTCAATCCATGCCCCTTTCTGCAATTTGAACTCTTGTTGTCAATGTTTCAGTGATGTAAATACAACATTTTTGGTCACTTCTTGTTAAGAACTCTGTGCGTAGATATACAGTACACTTTTCCACTTAACAGCACTTTTAATATTTCTTTTTTCAATATACATCTATGTTCATACACATTTTGTTTCTCACCTTTTTTTCAGGATATTGAAGATGCTATTGTTCGTTTGAAAGCATGGCGTGGTGAATTTGGTCAAGCAGTTTTTGATGGTTGGTCAAGAATGGCTTTACCAATACAAGCATTTAATATTGTTGAAGTAGCTAAACCAGATTTAGGTGCTAAACATCCAGCACGTGTACGTGCTGATGTACGCGTTGCACTTGCTGGTCTTCGTCCAGAAATTCGTAAAGAATGGCTTGGTTTACGACGTCATGATCCAGTGTTTTTAGTTACAATACGACCTACTAAACAACAAGGATGGAAGTATGTTTGTCTACTCTCTCTCTCTCTTTATTTTCATTTCTGCGACAATTTTATTTTATTATTAACTAAAGGATTTAAAGTGGGTGTATTTTTTCTTGTGTGTGGGTTTTCGTGTAAAATAGTGAGTATTATTTAATGAAATTGACTACTCTTTGCTTTGAGAAGGAAATTTCTTTCCAGACAATTAGTTCCTTTTATATATTTTGATATAACAACTCGTAAGTTGATTTAAGCCAATAAACACACATGAATTTCTCTCATCATTTGTATGATGATAACTTAAAATGTTGAATTATTGAATAAGATGTGCTGACTAGTGACTAGTTTCGTGAGGAAATTCTCGGAGTACTAGTGAGAAGATTTAATCAGTGAATTTGAATTCTGTCGGGTGTAGGCAGTAACTACCGTAGACAGTGGGTGGGGTTGCACAAAATCCTTAGACTGATCAAAGCTAGACACTAATGCCGTTGAATACCGGCTCAGTGGTCCAGAATTTAGGCGTTCACGCACAAGACCGGAAGTCCTGAGATCGAATCCTGCGAGCTGCAGGAGTCGTGGATGCACACTGCTGATGAGTCCCATACTATGACGAAACGGGCGTCTTTCAGTGGCCTAACAATCATTCATTCATGATTTCAATGCAACACAACGATCTTCATAATTCTATAATGCAAAAAATAATCAGATTATATTATGTACAAATGATCTGTATGCCTAATGATTAAGTTGAGTTTAAGAAAAAAAGTGCTCATTTATGATGAAATTCTGAAAACCCATGGATAAGATACTAGATTAAAATGTTAAATTGATTAATGAGGCAGTAAATTTTCATCAACTGTATTGGTTCTAGCATCGTATACTGTCACTGCGTCAGAGAGATGAAAGTAACCGATGGTTAGAGACCTTGAACGACATGGCTCAACATCGTTTGCAATGGTGCAGGTGAATCCACTCTTTGTGTTCTCTCAAATTCTAACCTTCTGAATTCCTCATCATCTCTCTTTCTAACTTTATCTCACTGAATTATACCATAGTCTTCTCCATTACCGAGAATACTTCTACTATCTCTACCATTATGGAATTTGAACTGACAGTTGCGTCTCTGTGCTAATGCGGTATGGCAACCTAAACCGATGTACCTACGTACGGAGTTCTGCGTTGTATCTGTCTGTCTGTATACTGTCACTTAACTCTTCACGCAATATAAAACGACATATATATATCTATAAATAGGTGAGAAAAAGAATAAAGATGAAAATATATCAAGACATGACATTAGTCCATGAAATCATATTGCCTCTTACTTACCATTACAGTAATATTTCAATATATTAGATAGACTGAAAGTTCAATGTTTTACAAGCTTGCTTTACAAAAGGCTTATCAAGAGAAATAATTTCGTGAAATTACTTCAATTTAAATTTTATTTCATTTACCCCGCCCTCAACCCCATTACTTATTATGTATATACATAGATTTAACATGAATGAACCATTTGCATCACAAGTTGGTTTACATTATGTTCGTGGTTGTGAAATTGAAGGTCAAGTTGATAAAGAAGGCAAACTAGTACCGGATGAAGAACGTCTAGGCTTTTTACCATTAAAAGGTAAGTTTCTTTTCTTTAAAGAATTAATCTACTTGAGTTATTTAATTATGATGCCTTTTTTCCAGATCCTACATGTTGAATTATGATTCGATTCGCAAAGTTATCGATTAAACTATATAAATCTGTTTTAAGAAGTCCATTTTTCTGTTTACATTTTCAAAATAAATAGTTTTTTTCATTGTCACAAGTCATTTAATAGATGTAAATTGATGTGTATATCTCTGAGCCGAGATCATTCAAACCGACGTAGATTGAGTCGGGTTCGAATCTGCTACTTAGTTTCTTTTACTTACTTGCTTGATCACTTTTCATTTGGACATGTCATGTCAGTTACAACGTAGAACTTCGTACGTAAGTACATCAGTTCAAGTTGCCATACCACATTAGCACAGAGATATAATTGTCAATTCAAATCCCATAGTATTGTAGGTAGTAGAAGTATTAGCAGTAGTCGGAGAGATTATGGGGTTCGAAGATGCTATTCAAGAAGTATAATTCAGTGAGGTAAATTTAGAAAGAGAAAGATAGAGGTGATGAGGAATTCAGAGGTTAGAATTTCATAGAACACAAAGAGGAGATGCAGTTCATTTGGACAACTAATCATCTATAGAATTCGATTAATACCAAACGTCCTTAGAGAATTAATCAGCCTAAAATTTGTAATATAACATATAAATTTATTGTGAAACTGGTTACCGAATTCACACAAGTTTATAGATATGGTTAGACATTTTTGAAACCATGAATCGATCAATGTTAGACCACCATTAGAAACCTGGAGGCACTGGACGGCCGTTTCGTCCTGGTATGGGACTCCTCAGCAGTCTAATAGATAAGGTGTCTGTAATGTGATTCTGTTGTCTAAGTATTTCTTAGATTTCTGTTAATACAGTCTCACCGGGTTATCCAGTCTCAAAAGTCTAACTCCTCAATCAAGAGAGCTATATTATCTTCATCTTTCTCAAAAGCCTATCAATGGTTTCAGTAGTCAACTCTTCGAATAACTTATGTACCCTTCTTCTTAATGCAGTACTTCCCTCAAAAACTCGTGATTTGTTTTGATACACCTACAGAAGTTATCACAGCTTCGAAGCTAAGCATGAATAACACATCTAACAGTCTGTCTAAGGTTACCTTGTCATACATTGTTCGCGACAAAACTCTAGAGGTTCATACTATCAATTCAGGTCGAAACCCAGTGTCTATGCCACAGTTAAAGCAGTATGGGCAGTGAAGAAAGATAACTCTCAATTGAACCAACAGGTGTTTGAGCTTTCTATGCCCTAACCTTAACCTTTAGTCCTAGCCTTTTTATTAAATGCACCCTTCCAAATTTACGATTCTCCCTTTGAATTTTTTCCAATTATCATAGACTCTTCTTACTTACTTACTTACGCCTGTCACCCCCAATGGAGGAGCATAGGCCGCTCACCAGTTTTCTCCAGCCAACTCTGTCCTGGGCTTCTCTCTCCAGTTCTGTCCAATGTTTGTTCATTCCTCTCATATCTTTCTCTATTTCTCGGCGTAATGTATTCTTTAGCTTTCCTCTTTTCCTTTTGCCTTGAGGGTTCCATGTGAGGGCTTGTCTTGTGACGCAGTTCGGTGCTGATCGTGTCTGGCCAACGAATACGAAGTATTTTGTGTAGACAGCTGTTCATAAACACTTGTATCTTCTGGATGATGGCTTTGGTAGTTCTCCAAGTTTCCGCTCCATACAGTAGAACTGTCTTGACATTTGTATTGAAAATGCTTATTTTGGTTTTGTTTGAAAGTTGTTTGGAGTTCCAGATATTTTCCAACTGTAGAAATGCAGCCCTTGCTTTGCCAATCCGCGCCCTCACATCTGCATCGGATCCACCTTTCTCGTTGATGATGCTGCCCAGATATGTAAAGGTGTTAATGTCCTCCAAGGCATCTCCATCAAGAGTGATTTGGTTGGTGCATGTTGTGTTGCATCGGAGAATTTTGCTCTTTCCTTTATGTATGTTGAGACCTACTGCTGCAGAGGCTGCTGCTACACTCGTCGTCTTCTCTTGCATTTGTTGTTGAGTGTGCGATAGAAGAGCCAAGTCATTTGCGAAGTCCAGATCGTCCAGCTGCGTCCTAACTGTCCAGTTGATACCGTGCTTCCTTCCAGATGTTGACGTTTTCATAATCCAGTCGATCATCAGGAGAAAGAGAAAGGGTGAGAGTAAGCAACCTTGCCTCACACCGGTCTTCACCTCGAAAGAGTCTGTTAGCTGTCCTTCGTGTACGATTTTGCAGTTGAATCCATCATAAGAATTCCGTATGATGTTAACTATTTTCTCAGGCACCCCGTAGTGTCGAAGAAGCCTCCACAGTGTTTTCCTATCCACGCTATCGAATGCTTTCTCGTAGTCGATGAAGTTGATGTAGAGTGGTGAGTTCCATTCAATTGATTGTTCCACAATGATCCGTAATGTAGCAATTTGGTCAGTACATGATCGATCCTTACGAAATCCGGCCTGCTGATCTCGAAGTTGGACGTCTACGAAGTCCTTCATTCTGTTTAACAATACCATGTTGAAGACTTTGCCTGGTATTAAGAGAGAGAAGATTGATGTCTCTGTAGTTCTCACACTTTCTGAGATCGCCTTTCTTTGGTATTTTGATGAGGTATCCTTCTTTCCAATCCAATGGTACTTGTTCCTCATCCCAAATCTTCATGAAGAGAATGTGAAATATTTTCGCAGTTGCTTCTACATCAGCTTTCATTGCCTCCGCTGGAATGTGTCTGGTCCTGCTGCTTTGCCGTTCTTGATTTTTCTGATGGCCATACTGATTTCCTCAATCGTAGGTGCACCAATATTAATTGGGAGGTCCGTGGATGCTGCTTCGATGTTGGTTGTGTTCAGCTGAGCCGGTCGATTCAATAGTTCTTTAAAGTGCTCTATCCACCTATTTCACTGTTCTTCAGTGTTGTTGATTACGTTGCCTTGCTTGCTTTTGACTGGTCGTTTTGGTTTACGATCATAGACTCTTCACTTTCAATTAATTCAACATCATATTTAAAAAACTAAGATGTTCAAAATCATATTTTGTTAATGCCTACTCTGGAAGGAAATAAATTTGAAAAATCGATAAAGTTTTTGATAGTAGTTATACTTCATGGTATCAGTTTTTATTCTCAACTGATATTTTGTTAATTTTCAATAAAGTAACATCACTTATTTTGTGCTTGCACGTCCACAAATTATCTACTACTTTTTTTCTCAATGTGTATGTGTGTGTGTGTGTAGGAGAGAAACCTAGCTTAGTGGATACACTGCCAACATGGCGTGTACGTTTAGATCCTGTACAATATCAAACAGATTTAGATCATTTAAAAGCTGAACAAATGCGTGCTGAAGTGCTAAGATCAAAAGTGATTCGAGCAAAACGTGAAGGACGTACCATGGAAGAAATTCAAGCATTACAAGTTCAAGTTGATGAAGCTGAACAATTGTCTCCGGAAGATTTATATGATACATTCAATGTTTTAATTAGACGTAAACCAAAAGAAAATAATTTCAAAGCTGTTTTGGAAACTATAAGGTTAGTGTTCACAAAGTGGTTGGGATGAAGTTCAAAGTTTGATGTTGTTGTTGTTGTTGTTGTTGTTGGAAGTCAAACACATTAACCAATAAGCTACCATATCATATTTAGCTTGCCTAAGGTGCTTGAGTTGTAGAATGACACATTTGATTTTGTTATTTTTTGTAGAGAAGTAGATTGTTAATGTTACGTCTCTGAAACGTCTGCTACTAATACACAGGAAATAATTTTATCTCAATCTAGTTTCAAGGCATTGACATGACAGACCATCTAGTTAACTGTGAGACTAGTAACACATGAATTTGGTTATGACTAAACACCCTTGGCACAGAGGGTAGAAAACTATCCTCTCACTGGGTAGGCTAACAAAAGAAGAGTCACAGAGAGTATACTAATCGACTGGGATGCCATTCAATTTATTCCTGATTTGAATTACGAAAAACATGAATAAGTACATAGTTTACAAGTTCAGAACGCACACAATAAAAAAAATACAATTATGCCCAAAGGATGGAAAAATTGAGTATGATGAATGCATCTAAGTTATAGTAATTTTGGATTAGAACAGTCAGTCAGTCAGATGCAACGTAGAACTTCGTACGTAAGTACATCAGTTCATGTTGCCATACAACATCAGCACGGAGATGTAATTGTCACTTCAAATCCAATAGTAGTAGAGGTAGTAAGGGTATTAGAAGTGATCGGAGAGGTTAGGATTAGAAGATATTCAAGAAATATGATTCAGTGAGAAAAGTTTAGAAAGTCAAAACTAGAGTTGTTGAAGAACCCAGAAGATTAGGATTTGAAAGAACACAAAGAATAAATGCATCGGCGCCATTGCGAACGATTTAGATTAGAACAGAGTATGACAGTGAATAAGATAGGAACGAAAATCAATGCTAGTTTAGTGAAGGAGAACACAGGTGGGGCAACCGAATTGTATTTAACGAAAATTACAGAGTTACTCAGTAAAATAGGAAAACCATATCGTAAATCGTTCATTTGCAAAATATCAGTTCAGCATATCGAACTGGACTGTTCCTGTTGCAAAACATCAATCCATTGTCTGACATTTCACTGTTCATGCGTTTCATACAAATTCCATTGTGTTCTTCTAACTCTTCCTTTCTTGATCTTCCTCCATCTTCTGCTACCAGACATCACGTTGACACTCACGTCATATCCTACTTATAAGTAGCTCACACCACACTAGTATTCAGCAGGCTTTGAGCTAGATACAAATAACATCTCCAAAATACACTTCCATTGTTTGTCATTGTCTCGCTGTTTCCTTCTTCACAACAATTAATTTAATTGAACATCAACTAAATCTTTCAATCACAATTCAAACATCTGTTTTACATGAATGTAATGATCAGTACTTCTCTAACAGAGTGGCTTTGCTTTTGTACATGTGTGTATAGTTTATGTTGATGACATTTTCTCATTTATTTGTTTGTTTGCTTTTATTCCCCACATCCTATGCCTTTATTATTCAAGAGATCTAATGAATATTCGATCTGTTGTACCTGAATGGTTATTAGATTTACTGATGGGTTATCTTGATCCTGCAGCTGCACATTATACACATCGTTCAGATGTATATGAACCACGACAAAATTGGTTTGATACATTTTTATCACCGGAACATTTACAACAATCATTATCTCAATATAATGTACAATTTACCGATAAACGTCAAAGTCGTAAATGGAAAACTAATTGTCCAACTGAAATATCTGATATCACTGGTAAGTAGTTTACCACCGATCAGAAATCATTTACAGTTTTACATACATACATAATAATGATAAGATAGAGTTAGTATGATTGTAATTTTCGCATGAATATCTATTGCTTTTTGTTGGGGATGTTAGATCCCCAAAATCCGCTTGATAAATACCTTATTTTGGTTTTCACGTTTGCGAGCGTGGGCTGATCAGTTGACCTTGAGATTTGAATTCCCACCAGGAAAATATATGGCTGTGATTGGCTACTGTGTATTTTAGTGTACTATTTTCTTAACTGTCTCAAGGACGTTTCTATGATGTATAAATAAACGAGAGTTGTATGCTTGATTGTATTGTGATTGCTGGGTGTTTGTAGAATATACTTTCTACGCTTACAAAGCTCTTTTACTCTATTTGGGGATTCAAGGTAGCCTACCTGGACGCTGCTAAAGGTCTTGTTCGCGTTTATCGACTAAGGTAAACTCGTAATAGCCTCAAGCATACTTAGTGACGAGTGTAACACTTTTAAATACTATTGAATTATTTAAAAATAAGAAATTAGTTTTCAGATTTAATGAACTGTGAAATTTCAACTGATGTCAAACAATGAGGTAATGTTATTGAAGACTTGTAGTAGCTTAAGAGAAGAATCTTGAATGTATTTCCTATTGCTGACTGCGTAGTTTAATTTTGAGGCTTCTCTTATCCTTCTGAAGGACGTAGTGTTCACACTCTAGTACTTTAACCCTTAACTAGTTATCTACTTGAAAATTACAAATTTTTACTAAAACCTTCAAGTCAGATGTTTAAAGCGAAAACTGTTGATTTCGAACGGATGTACATCAGTTCAAGTTGCCTTAACACATTAGCATAACCACTGGGTACGATTATCACGCGAACTCTAACTAGATAGTCTACAACCTATTAACATGACTCAATCCAATGTTGATTGATTTCATGGACTGGTTCTACATTGACTTTGACTGATTAATGTTGTATGAAGTTTAAACATTTGTTCCCTAATTTAAGACCAACAATTCACTACTCCACTATTACGCATTAAAATCATCAATCAATCATCATTAGACCACCATTAGAAACTTGGAAGCATTAGACTGGTATGGGACTCATCAGCAGTGCGAATCCACGACCCCTGCACATCTCAGGATTGAAACCCAGGACCTTCGGTCTTGCACGCGAACGCCTAACGTCTGGGCCGACATCCAGCAGCGTTAATGTCTAACTCTGATCAGTCTAAGTATTTTGTGCGACCCTACCCATCTGTCTTCGGTGGTTACTGCCTACACCCGACGGGGTTGAAAATCTATTGATCACGTCTTCTCACTAGTACTCCGAGAATTTCCTCATGAAGCTAGCATTAGTAAGATTATTATACGAATTTTTTAATTAGGGTTATGGATATGAGTGTTTTCGCACACTGATCTCCATAACTTTAATTGGAAAACTCTACTTTTGATTAATACCTAATCTGATCACCCTATTTTTGCTCTAATCGAAATCACCAATCAACATAGTTGGTTGTGCTTATAAGAATGTTTTTGTCTCACATTTCAATTAATGGTCATCGAACTATTTTATTGCTAATCGATCAGATGAAGGTCTGTGAATACATTTTCACCTAGAGTCAACAGTAGTTCAACAAACATTTTCACATTTTTCCGCAGACTTTTTAAAGTCATTAACTACAACACCGTTTTTTACATAAGGGTTATCAACCTGTACCTGACAGTTCAAACAAATATAGATATGAAGTAAAATAGCCTACTTAACCATCATTCCAGTAGTATTTACGTACGAATATATCAGTAGTACTCACCCTTTTTTAAAAAAATAAAAAAATCTCATACTGTTTTCCTAAATTTTGTTTTAAAGACTCAGAAAATCATCTACCTGGACCACCGTACCGATTGGTTTTTCCAAAGTTGGAAGATGATCCAACCGCGAAAGTTGAAGCAATGATTCCATCCGATATGATTATTCAAAAGCATTCAACTACTAGCGGTAATGTAGATGCTACTACTGACAATCAATCGAAAAATACTGAAAAACCAACTTTGATCGCGGAAGCCTATGATCCACCTTTACAACCACCTTGGAATTTAATTGCTCAAGCTGGAGGTCATCTGCCGAGTAGTCTTTCATCGATGAAGTTGAAACTTGGCAATAAAGTCCCATTCACACCGGCACAAATAGAAGCTATTCGATCTGGTATGCAATGTGGTTTAACTTTGGTAGTTGGTCCACCGGGTACTGGGAAAACCGACGTAGCTGTACAAATTATTCATAATTTATATCATAATTATCCTAATCAACGGTAAGTGCTTTTGGTACATGTGATAGTTTACATTTAAATAATTTCTCCCAAACAATCGTTAATCAATCTATCTATCACAAAACGTAATGTGAACATGTCCCAACCACCTCAACTGATGAAGGTGGTTGGGACATGTGCTACGTATGCCTAACCACCAACTGCCTCAATGAGCGTTGTTTTGTAGTGTAGGAGTAGGTTGGAAGAAAGCTAGGGGCGGCCAAACCAAAACATAGCAGAAATCCATGAAGTCATTGACGAGTGGACTGTGTCATGTTGGGAGATGTAGGCTATCTGGTTGGGGTCCGCGAGATGTTAGTAATCGATGGTTAGAGATCCTGAATGACATGGCTCAAAACTGTTTGCAATCGCGTAGGCGCATTCATTCTTTGTGTTCTCTCAAATCCTAATCTTCTGGATTCTTCAACACCCCTAGTTTTGACTTTCTAAACTTTTCTCACTGAATCATACTTCTTGAATAATATCTTCTAATGCTAACCTCTCCGATTACTTCTAATACCTTTACTACCTCTTCTACTAATGAATTCGAATTGAGAATTACATCTCTATGCTAATGTGGTATGACAACATGAACTTGTACTTACGTACGAAGTTCTACGTTGCATATGACTGACTGACTGAATTAATCAATCACTTAAATGTAGAAACTATCCTTTTAATGATAGTCTTCAATACTAATTGTATACTGTCAATGGACAGCTCCAAGATTCGTTCCAAGTGAAGACTGGTGTCAGGCGAACTTGCTTACCCCTTCCTCTCTTTCTCTTGATGGTCGACTGGATTATGACAATGTCACCATCTGAGGGGAACTACGGAATACAGTGGATAGCTTGGATGCAGCTGGGCGATCTGGACTTCGAAGATAATCTAGTCCTTCTATCTTAAACGTAACAACTAATTCAGGAGAAGACAGTCAATCTAGCAGCAGTTTCAACGTATACAAGTGAACAAGCAAGATCATTCGATACAACACAACATAAACCAAGCAAGGCACACTTGACGCTCAGCTTTGGAGGATGTAAAAACCTTGACTTATCTGGGCAGCATCTTTGATGAGCATGGTGTATTTAATGTAGATGTGAAGGTGCTGATCGGAAAAGCAAGGACTGCATTTCTACAATTGATTAACATTTGGAACTCAAAATACCTATCAGCCAACACCGAAGTCAGAATTTTCCATACGAACATTGTGACAATTCCGTTGTATGAAGCAGAATCTTAGAGAATTACGAAAACAACAATCCAAAAAATTCAGGTGTTTATTAACAGTTGTCCACGCAAAATACTGCGAATCCGCTGACTAGACACCATCAGCAACAACCTACTTGTTAGGATATTCGTGCAATATCCTAAGAGAATTATTGGTCAGTTCCTATTGTTTGATTCCTACTGGTCAGTTTTATGGTCGTCCTAGATATCAATGTCACGTGCTCCAATGTTGTTTTTTATTGGTTGTCCTGATTACCAATGTCACTTCAAATGTTGCTTCCTATTGGTCATCTTAACTGTCAATGTCACAGACTTCGATGCTGTTTCTCATTCGACCAAAATGTATAAATACGCATTATCTGTAACGTTTTATGATCCGGACCCGGATCCCTAGTCCGAGGTCATGATTCTCTTCTGGATTTGGACCTCGTACTTTGTGGATGCTTGTGGAATACAGGTTCTACTTCACATTTAAGTCTTCTTATTTTCACTCAATATGGGAGTTGGAATAATCGGATTTGAGTAGCATGTCGTGTCGCCGGATCCTCGCTCTCGTTTTCCGACTAAGACAAACTCATAATAGTTCAAGCATGACGTGTTTGCGTGCAGGCGTAACACTACTATGGGATAAAACAAACCACATTCTAGTTGAGGAAGAAATTAGGAAAAAGCGCTGTAAGTAGATAGGGCACATATTGAGGAAAGCACCTAACTGCATCACAATTCCTCAAGTCCTCACTTGGAATCCTTAAGGCCAAAAAACACATTACATCGAGAATTGGAAACAGACATGAGAAGAATGGACAATAAATTGGATAGGGACTAGGACAAATTAGGTTAGAGAAAGCTGGTTAGCGATTTATACTCCACTAGGGGGTAACAGGCGTAAGTAAGAATGATATCAATTAATTTTGCGAACCCCTTAGCCTAATATTCTTATTCATTGTTAATCAAAAACTCATATTTCATTTCATTTCAATTCAATTCTATAGTCCTCATTCTGATTCGAATTCCACAGTTGTAGTCTTTGTGACACAACACAAATGATTATAACTTCGTTGCTTCGTTGCAATATGGATGCAAACAGTTAAAATGTCAACCAGAAAAAAGGAAACATAGTTTTATGAATTCTTATTATGTCATAAATACATTTGATACATTTTGATTATTTCTTGTTTTTGTCTTATTTTGTTTTTCTCTTCATTCTATATTGATTGGTCAAAATTCACTAAATGGACAGTATACTAATTGTAACTCATTCAAATCAAGCATTGAATCAATTATTTGAGAAAATTATTGCACTCGATGTTGATGAACGTCATCTTTTACGTTTAGGTCATGGAGAAGAAGGTTTAGATACAGATAAAGATTTTTCACGTTATGGTCGAGTTGATTATATTCTAGCTAAACGTATACATCTTTTACAAGAAGTAAGTGTATATTTTATACTTTCAAGCACATACATACAATATCTATGCATCACTGTTGATCATGCTATAATGATGACAGATCTCTGTGAATGAATGATTCATTAAAAAAAATATCATATCCCAGAAATAACCTATTCGTAGTGGCCTTTTAAAACTGTGAGAATATTTAACATCGGCTATCTTTATTTTGATTGGCTGCCCAAAAGGTTATCAGATATGATTGTAAAGGTTACGTAAGTGGCGGGTAAACCTGTTTATGAATGGGTGATAAGAATATAGGCACTGTTTTAAGCGGCATGAACATACAATTCTTAATTAAGATACTGAGATGCATCATTAAATAGTAAAAGTTACACAATGATAACAATGTCATTTTGTCAGTTTAATGCGTGTAACTGAATACAGTTTTGAGACGGTGGAGAAAATTTGTAGCTCAGGTGGATGATTTTAGTAGTGTTTCGTTCTCTGAGCTGGATGAACAGAGTCTTTCATCAGTGTATTATAATCAGTAATTACTTTGCTTTTTATAGATGACTTTGGATTTGCCGTAGGCGAGATATCCGTTTTCTAACTAAAGGATGAGTATACTGTGCAGTAGTTCGCTCCGTCTTACTTTATGGCTGTGAAACATGGCCAGTGAGAGTAGATATTCGTTGGTTATTAGTTTTCGATCATAGGTGTCTTCGAAGCATTGCTCGTGTATCCTGGGACAACCGAGTAAGCTATGCTTTAGTTAGGAAACGAGTACTAGGTAGAGATGGCAAATCAATAGATGAAGTAGTGGTGGTTGGGATGGTTGAAGTGGTTGGGACAAGCGCTGTGTATGCCTAACCACCGACTGTCTCGACGAGCTTCGTTTTGTAGTGTAGGAATAGGTTGGACGAAAGTTAGGGGCGGCCAAAACAAAACATGGCGCTAATCCATGAAGTCACTGACAAGTGGACTGAGTCATGTCGGTAAGTGTCGACTACCTGGTTGGGGTCCGCGAAATGATAATAATCGATGGTTAAAGACCCTGAATGACATGGCTCAAAACCGTTTGCAATGGCGCCGGTGCATTTATTCTTTGTGTTCTCTCAAATCCTAATCTTCTTGATTCGTATACACCTCTAGGTTTTGCTTTTTAAACTTATCTGACTGAATCATACTTCTTGAATAATATCTTCTAATCGTAACCTCTCCGATTACTGCTAATACCTTTGCTACCTCTACTACTATTGGATTTGAACTGATGTACTTACGTACGAAGTTCTACGTTGCATCGGACTGACTGACTGACAGACTTTTCATTTGTATATTTGATTGTTGACTTATCGAATATCATACATAAAAATGTTTATTTATGAATATAAAATAACCCGAAAAAGTGAATAATTTACGTGCAAACATTTTTACATTGTAACTTATACTCTCTATTGAGAATGAATAGAATTTATTCAGTGTTTCATATGTGAGGCAGTTATTTAGGTTGCCGTCAATTTACTGATCTATTGGCAGCCAAACTAAAACATGGCAGCAATCCTTGAAGTCATTGACAAGTGGACTGAGTCATGTCAGTAGTTGTCGACTACCTGGTTGGGATGCGCAAGATGATAGTAACCGATGATTAGAGACCTTGAATGACATAGCTCGAAATCGTTTGCAGTGGCGCACGTTCATCCATTCTTTGGCTTCTCATAAATCTTAATTTTCTGGATTCTTCATCACCTCCATCTTTCTGTTTTTAAATTTCTTTCATTTGATTATACTTCTTCCTAACCGCGAATACTTCCACTACCTCTACTATTATGGGATCTGAATTGGCAATCTATTTCTGCTAATGTGGTACGGCAACTTGAACTGATGTACGTACGTACGAAGTCCTACATTGTAACGGACTGATTGACCAACTGGTCTATTAACAGCATCAAAATATCATAATTAACTATCTAATTGTTAAAAACAAATAAACTAGTCAGCAGATCAAAACACTCTAAAGCCTCGAAAACATCATGTGTCTTTCATTCTTGACTATAGAAGTTTGACAGTTAAGCTTCGGAGGGAATTGTAGTTATCAACCATTTGTATACCTAACGTGTTCTGATCTTTATTACTTACTTACTCCTGTTACTCCTAATCGAGCATAGGCCGCTGGTTAATGTTTTCTTTAGAGAGTTGCATTTCTACGGAATAATGTGGTCGCTAACCCCCACGCCCAACCCTACTCCTTTAACCGGTCTTGGGACCGGCAGTCACCCTAGAACGGCTCCAGGCGAAGTTAACTTCCTGATCGATATTCTCATATTCTAATGCTTTACAAACCAGATTTTCTTTTACAAACTTGTGAAAAGTTTCCTTTTCTTTTGACTATCCATATCCATTCATCATTGGAATGGTAATTGTTTTTCGCTTGCCTCCTTTCTTGTCAAGGTGACACGTTTAGCAAAAACTTTAAATCCATCCTCAGCTATACCACAATTATCAACTGACCTATCAGATTCAGATTTATCTGATGCTACAAATAATTTTCACTTGCAAACATGTGAAACTGCTCAATATTTTTATATACAAGAAGTTTTATCACGTTGGGAAGATTTTATTAGTAAAATTGCTGCATCGGACACATCGAAACAGCTAATGCTTATGAATACAAATCATCAATCGAATCAATTCAATGCAGAAGAAACAGAAGAAGGAAAAAGAGAAGAACAAGACCCAATGAATGAGACTAGTTATGATGCCAACTTGATACGAACTAATTTTCCATTCACAGAATTTTTCACTGGTCAAAAATCACCATCCAATGAAATAATGAATCAATTGTTTCCGGTAAGTTATGAGAATAAAGAAATCGATTGGAATTTATTTTTTGTACTTAATTAATTAATATTATATAACTTCAGTCTTTATTTTAAGTCACCAATGGTTGTTAGAGACCTTGAATGACATGGCTCAGAATTGTTTGCAATGGCGCAGGTGCATCCACTTTTTGTGTTCTCTCAAATTCTAACCTTCTGAATTCCTCATCATCTCTATCTTTCTCCTTCTAAATTTATCTCACTGAGTTATACTTCTCGAATCATATCTTCGCTCCCTAATCTTCTCTATTACTGCTAATACTTCTACTGTCTCTACCACTATGGGATTTGAACTGACAGTTACGTCTCTGTGCTAATGTGGTATGGCAACCTGAACTGATGTACTTATGTACGAAGTTCTGCGTTGTATCTGTCTGTCTGTCTGTCTTTGTTTGGTTGGTTCACGTTTAGCCAAGAGGAGGTGCCTTGTGTGTTGGTGGGGGGAGGTATGTGAGGACCAACGTGTGAGATCATCTGGGAGAAGAAAGAACAGGCGTGAAATATGAGCCGACGCCTCAGTAAGCACATAGAAAGCACTTACATTCAATAGAGAAATCAATAGACAGTAACTGGAGAAACGAAACTAGAAGTTGTTAGAGTAAGGTTTTGATTGTGTTACACTATAAACGGAGTAAACATCAAGTCTAATAGTTTAAGTATTATCTCTAATGGTCAATGAAAACAACTCATAGTTGTCAGTATTCTCTATATTGATTTATCTGTTACATAATCTATCTCTCTGATCATGTTTAATTTTTGTATGAAATTATTTTGTGTATATATGCATGTTAGGCATTATTGATCTGATCGTTCATCTCAGATTATTCAAGAGCCAATCATTTATGCGATTGTCATGTTGTTTTATTCCTTTCTCATTTGACTTAAACATCTTTCTTAATAACATTAAAAGTACTGGATATTTTTGAATGTTGTAAAAACTCTTTTTTTCATTAACTATTTTGCAATGTTTTTCTCTTACACGATTAACGATACAATATGATAGTGTGGTGTGTGCTACTTATACGAACGATATAAGTAGTATAATAAGGGACGTGAAAGAAGCGACACCAAATGAGAAGACTGAGGCAGGCGAGGAAGATTGTGTTATGCAAATTTACACTCTGAGTCAGTTAAAAACGAAAACATTACATTGAATACTCTATTTGCACACCATCTTTGAGTCGTGACTTCCAACACTCCATCCTTCTTCCATTCCTGTTGGTACTCCATTTACTTCTTGCTTTTGCTCCATTTGCTTTCCGTTTTCCTCTTCTGACCGTGAGACTTCTTCTTTCACGTCCCTTCTTATACTACTTATATCGTTCGTATAAGTAGCACACACCACAATAGTAACCATAGAATAACTATTTCATTTGAATTTAAAACTTCCCAAAGGTTTTGAACCTTACAAAGAATTGTTTCTGCAAGGTTGAATTCCATCAGTCCTCATGTTTAAATGAGGTCAATTTTTTTGTTGTAGTGTAAGCAATCTTAATCCAATGTCATCAGTGAATTACTTCAGTCTAGCACGATGTTTTCTTGAATAAAAGTAGGTTAGAAAAAGACTTTATTTTCAAACTCATGATGTAACATCTGTCTGTCAATCATTCTTGATACTACGGTAACTTGACTTCATTACTAAGTGTCCTCTTTACTCAAACTTAACTTATCCAAAGACTAAGAGAGCAAACATAAGAATTTGAGAAGAAGAATACTGAAAATTTATTAGAATTCATTAGGTTCTCGTCAACTGTTTGCAGCTTGGTATATTTAATAATCCAAAATACATTGAAAGTACTTCGTTGGAATCCGTCGTTATTATAGATACACAAATAATGAAACATGCTACAACACTGCTCATATAAATAAGAGGAAAACCAAAGGGTTAGCAATAAGTGGCTGCGTAATGAACAAACGGCAACAATCCATAAGATGTACAGTTGATTCCTTTTGTACACAAATCTGCATTTCTGACGCTTGATAGTAATAGCTTAAACAATCATTCGAAAAACAGAAGTTTTAGTTGTTTGTCCGAGCAAGTTGGAAAAATTTTAAGGAATCAACCTATTGACCTATGCATCTCAAATATATCAAGAGACTGGACTATTCAATGCATGTCAACCTTTTTAATCAAAGGGTTTTTGAAACACAGTCAAAAACTCTGAGGGAAAACGCTCCACTCCTTTTGATCAATGTAGCTCGTCTGTCATGTGCGCATAAATTTATGAACAAAGATGATGGTAAGAGGAAGAGGATACTTGTTGACCTTTATCGAACATGTTTTATACAGAACTCATAGTCTGGCTACAGGATAAACGTTAGTTAACGCAAGTGTTAAACCTTCTTTCCACTAACTATCCCTGCAAAATTATCACGTTTTTAGTCGAGATAGATAAGGTGTAGTCTTTTTTTTTATTGACTATAGAATACACCTGATTTGTTGTCTGTTAAGTTTCTCACTTACTTGATGATCTTGATAAAAAGATATTACTTTTAATTTTGTATACACATCTTGTTTTTCTTCTCATCAAAATTGTTATATTTTGATATTCATACAATAGGGTCGAAATCTTCTAGAAGATGTTGCATTAGCACAAGCCTATTTTCGTTATCTTCATTCAATATTTACACAACTTGATGAATTTCGTGCTTTTGAATTAATGCGTACCGGTACTGAACGTGCTAATTACCTGTTAATACAAGAAGCAAAAATCATTGCAATGACATGTACACATGCTGCATTACGTCGTAGAGATTTAGTTCAATTAGGATTTACCTATGACACTATACTTATGGAAGAAGCAGCACAAATATTAGAAATTGAAACATTTATCCCGTTACTTTTACAAAATCCTGATATATCAGGCAGGAATCGTTTGAAACGTTGGATTATGATTGGTGATCATCATCAGTTGCCACCAGTTGTTAAAAATCAAGCATTTAATAATTATTCTAATATGGGTCAATCATTATTTGCACGTTTAGTGAAACTTGGTGTTCCAACTGTTCAATTGGATGCACAAGGACGTGCTAGATCATCATTATCACGTTTATATAGTTGGCGATATAATCGACTAATTGATTTACCGCATACATTAAATGAATTACAATATTGTTTAGCTAATCCAGGTTTTCTATATGATGTACAATTAATCAATGTAGAAGATTATAAAGGTGAGTTTATTGTTTTGTTTTGTTTTGTTTTTTTCATATAGTATGCGTTTTGAATTATTTGCTCTTAGGATAATATATTCAAGATGGATATTGGATTAGTCTTTATTATATCAAATTATACATGTTGTATGGACTACCTCGTTTATTTTATAGAATAGATAAGTTGTTACTGACAGTAGAATTTAGGGCACACGTAAAACTAGTCAGCTGGATATATCTTGTGATGATTTTCATACTAGTGTTCGAACGCGCAAGACCGAAAGTCCTGGGTTCGAATCCTGTGAGGTGCAGGAGTCGTGGATGCGCACTGCTGATGAGTCCTGTACCAAGACGAAAAAGCCGTCTTTCAGTGATTCCAGGTTTCTAATGGTGGTCTAACAATATTTGATGCATGATTCTTATGTGTAGAAACACTGATCTCTATAATTCTTATTGAAAAAATCGTGCAATGTGCTCACTAGTGACTAGCTTCGCGAGGAAGTTCTCGGAGTTCTATTGAGAAGACATGACCAATGGAGTGTAGTGTGTTGTTTCGACGTGTTCTTATGCTTCGTGATTAGCTCGTCCAATCAGACGTTACTAAATAGCGTCTGACGGTTTATAAATCAGAAGGTGAACTCGAAGTGATGAATACGTTTATTTGGGACACACCACAAAGCGAAGCGGAGAAACAGTGAATAAAACGAATGAAGCGACGTGAATTGGAGAAGGCTGTTGAGCCAACTCCAAGAGTTGTAGGTAATAACTCCCAAAGACAAATGGGTAAGTTTGCACAAAATCCTTAGATTAATGAGAGTTAGACATTAATACCGTTGGATGCCGGCTCAGTGGTCCAGATGTTAGGCGTTCGCTTGCAAAACAAAGGTCCGGGGTTTAAGTCCCGCGAGTAGCGGGAGTCGAGGATGCGCACTGCTGATGATTCGCATACCAGAACGAAACAGCCGTCTTTCAGTGCTTCCAAGCTTCTAATGATGGTCTAACAATAACTGGTTGATGATTTCAACGTGTAATAATATCAACGATGAAGTCGTACTGCTGACTGCAGAGGGATGTGACAGCAGTAAGGTGTTTCCCTCGGACAACCAGCATCTGCTAGGATGCTGCCTTCTCACAACTAAAGGGAGGGGTTAGAAATGGTTGACCCTAAAAATGTAACACCTCTCCCTACCTCACGGATTTTCATCTCCGGCTATAAAGTCACCTGAAGTGCGGAGCTAACACTTAACAAGCTTCTCATAAAAAGGACGTGCGTGACCGGCCTCAAACAGTTGTCCCTTGGGCTCTGCGGTAACTCTCCCAGGTCGTGAAGACCAACGCTAATCTACCTTCCTTTTCAGGTTCGTCAAAAAACACCCTTCCATGGTGAGGGCAGCCTGCAAGTGACATCCGCCCTCACGTGTCACAGCATACGCCACCAAATTGGTCACAATCAAATCCCAAATTTAAAAATTATTCTCAATAGATAATAGTAACAATGTTCAAATATTTTTAAAATCTCATTCATCACATCACATCATGTTTTGTTGTTCTTCATTTCTTCAATTATCATCTTCATAAAACAGGAATCGGTGAATCGGAACCTAGTCCATATTTTTATCAAAATTTAGCTGAAGCTGAATATGTTGTTGCAGTCTACATGTATATGCGTATATTAGGTTATCCAGCTGAAAAAATCACAATACTCACAACTTACAATGGTCAAAAACATTTAATTCGTGATGTGATAGCTGCTCGTTGTGCACAAAATCCTTTATTAGGTAATCCAAGTAAAGTGACCACTGTAGATCGTTTTCAAGTAAGTCAATTTGAAATTGACTCTGCAAACAATGGTTTACTACTAATACTACTACTACTATTACACATGTGTGCGTATGTGTGTCTACTTTCAAATGTTTATTTTTTCGCAATTCTTAACATGAAACTAACTTTTGGCTGGGAGGTTTTATGACTATTAGTTTTGATTCATAGATATTGCTCATCCTTCTTAGATTGACATCAATTGTGGTGTCATTCAATCTAAAGTGAACCGTAACACATCTGTGTAATTCTGTCAAGTGAAATATGTATAATCATTTTCTCACCAATTCAAAATAAGTTCTCAATGTTCTGTTGTGTAGAGTTCAGTTAAGTTGTACTATCCCGTGAATTAACTGAATTGAAAAATCTAAACGCCTTGTTTTCAACTTTGAGACTCACAGATGATATACTCTATCTTTGAGTGAGTTATTGATTGGTGCGCACAATACTGTGTAGCTCCATATTAACAGAACAGAGATATTCACTTCTGTTGTAACGCTTGCTTAAATAATTCCCAGCTAATTCCTATTGCTTAGTATTCTCTGACCACAATACACTGGACAAGTTCCAAAGAATCAAAAACACGGTGGAACAGGAAAAGATTATATTCCAAATAGCAAGGTAAAATGGAAATACGAAGCCGAAACCGAAGGCTAAGGCCAAATAGTATCTTTATAGTCTTTACATGAGAAGCTTCTGGATTATAATTCACGCGATCGACTTGATTAGATTTAGCCAATCAGCGTGCAGCTAACAACACGAGAATTTTCTACCCTGTTCTCCAAGAATCGATCAGGCGCTGATTGGATAGGAAATTTAAAATTATATCCAAACACTTGCCTTACAAAAACACCTTGAAAGCGAACTATGCTAACGGCTCTGATAAATATATATACCAGCCAATTTTCTCGAGATTTTTAGTTTTCATTTAATACTTCTCAAACATTCCTCATATTATTATTTAAACTGTTAAAAACAAAGACGTGGGCAAGCAACGAAGAACTTTATCATGAGAAATTACACATTGTATTTGTAAAGTATGGAATCGATACACTTCATACAACATTTGCACATCTTCCGTGAGTTTTTCCTCACAATCTCCGCTGTGCATTCTTTTGTAGTGTGTCGATTTACTGCGTGTTCTTAAGCTCGGTAATTAACTCGTCCAGACAATCGTTACTAAATAGCGTCTGACGGTTTATAAATCAGAAGGTGAACACAAAGTTTTGAATACGTTTATTTTTGACACACCACAAAGCGAAGCGGAGAAGCAGCGAATGAAACGACGTGAATTGGAGAAGGTTGTTGAGCCAACTCCTAGGATTACAATGCGAACGGATGGGCGAAGCGCGTTGGAGAAGGCTAATAAGCAAACTCTCAGAGATAGAGCGTGACTAAGAATATATAATCAGACAAATAGAAGACAGACATGCAACAAGCGAAATAGGCACACATGAATAAAAGCGACGAATAGTTGACAAGGTCAAATGACAAGTGGGACACTTCATGTGAGCTCATACAAACCAGACAATAATAAGAACGAATGGTACATTTCCCTCTTCTGACAACAAGAGTTCTACTGCTTCTTCTTCCCGCGACATGCTACTTATATTTGTCCGTATAAGTAGCACAAACCAGAAAACAATTTAAAGATCATTCTAGCTTTTCCTATATTGATTGATTGTTGATTACGTGAAGATTTATGACTAATTAATTCATAGATCAACATGTTTGTGTATTGACTTTGAAAATGCTAACTGATGCTTCAAGTTAAAATGGGCCGGAAAATGGCCCTGCATTTTAAAGTCTAAGTAAATTGAAAATTGAATATCTGAACTACTAAACAACATTTCGATTTCTGTATAGTGAGTGGATAGATGAATGAGTTGTCTGAATTTGCCTAATCTCTCTCTATACACAATATTTCTTCAAAAGTGTAACTTTCTTCGAAATGTTATCATTTCATCGTTGAGTAACTAATGTCGTCTTCGTGCATTCTTCAGCATCCAATTAATTCTTATCTGTTTACCATGTTTATGTTGGTCATTCAATATCCAAAATGAACTTACAAATGTGAACTTTTAAGTTGCGATCTAAAAGTTATCCAAAAGTATCTTGCTAACTCTAAAATCTGTGTTCAACCCCTGGTAGATTCATGAATGCGAAATATTACCAAAAAATTCCTATTCATTGCTTCTTGAATCTTTAATAATTCATCATCAACAGCGACGTAGAACTTTGCACGAAAATATATCAGCTCTAGTTGCCAAACCACATTAGCCCAGAGAGATGGAATTGTCAATTCAAATCCAATAGTAGTAGAAGTAGTAAAAGTATTAGAAGTAATCGGAGAGATTAAGGTTCGAAGATATAATTCAAGAAGTATGATTCGGTGAGGTAAATTTAGAAAGAGAAGGATAGAGGTGACGAGGAATTCACTAACTAACATCAGAACTGGTTAAATCTAACTTATTCAATAATGGTTACTTATCACACATGGTTTCAGTGTAGGATTTATTGTCTTTTAAGAAAATACTAACCAAATTTTTTATAAAAATGTACTTTTTTAGTTCCTCGAAAGTGTTATGGTAGTTACTCGGTCAGTTATACACAACCTAGAACCTAAGATATGTATATCAGCTCACGTTGCTACACCCTATCAGCACAATGGGACAACAATATTATAAGACCTAATCTCATAGTTGTAGAGATAGCAATATCATTAGTTGTAATGGGAAAAGAAACCCCAGATATTGAAGATACAATGAACAAAGAAAATATTGATTGATAGAGTAAAAAGATTTATCAGGTTATTTAAAAACTTCGGACCACAACCCCTAACCATTCAGTCGGTCAATCAGTTGCAAGGTAGAACTTCGTACGTATGTACATAAGTTCAGGTTGCCATACCGCATTTGCACAGAGGCTCAAATGTCAAATCAAATCTCATAGTGATAGAGTTAGTATAGGTATTAATGGTAATGAAGAAGACTACGGTTTGAAGATATTATTCAAGAAGTATAATTCAGGGAAATAAGGTTAGAAAGACAAATGTAGAGTTGTAGACGAATCCAGAAGATTAGGATTTGAGAGAGCACAACGAATGGATGCACTTGCGCCATTGCAAACGATTTTGAGCCATGTCGTTCAAGGTCTCTAACCATCGGTGACTTTCGTCTCGCGGACCCCAACCAGGTAGTCTACATCTACCAACATGACTCTGTCCACTTGTCAGTAACTTCACGGATTTCTGCCATGTTTTGGTCTGGCCGCCCCCACCTTTCTTCCAATCTACTCCTACACCACAAAACAAACCTCATCGCGGCAGTTGGTGGTTAGGCATACGTAACACATGTCCCAACCACCTCAACTGATGAAGTTTCACTACTTCATCTATTGATATGCCATCCTTACCTAGTACTTGATTGCTAACTATAGCATTACTTACTCGGTTGTCCCACGATATACGATCAATGCTTCGAAGATATCTATGATCGAAAACCAGTAACCTACGAATATCTTCTACAACGATCGCACGGACACCTAACCAAGTAGTCTGCATTTACCTAGATGGCTCAGTTCAACTGTCAAGGTCTTCATGAACTGGTTTGATCACCTCTCAACATTCTCTTGCAACAACTATCATTGAGGATTGTGAAAGTTGATAGATTGGCAATTCAGAGCTCTAAGCTTGCTGAGTAGTGAAATAAAATGCTTACTCATCACTTACTCTCTACCTACTTCAAACTAATATCATTTGACAATGATTTATGTTTACTTTTCTGCTTACTGTTATTATTATTATTATTTAGGGTCAACAAAATGATTATGTACTAGTTTCATTGGTACGTACACGTACTGTTGGTCATTTACGTGATGTTCGTCGTTTAATTGTTGCTTTATCACGTGCTAGACTTGGATTGTATATATTTGCTAGAATTGAACAATTTGCCAATTGTCCTGAATTAAAAACTGCTTTTGATTTACTACTAAATCGTACAACAACATCTGAAAAAGGTGTACAAATGAAACCGACCGAATTACATCTTACACCATGGGAAGTGTGGATTGTAAGTTATTCTATGGATATATATATATATACTACTGATTACCCCTATCATAAGTAACTTCTTTAAAAACATGTGTACGAAACACATGAGTAGTGACAATGGATTGAAGATTTGCAAATTAACGATTAACGATATGATTTTCCGATTTTACTGAGTAACTCTGTAATTTTTCGTTAAATGCGATTCGGTTGCTTCATCTGTGTTCTCGTTCACTACATTTTCAATGGGCTGAAATAGTGAACTTCACTTATCGGTTAAGTCTTCAATACTACAAATTATTATTATTAACACAACAAATCAAGTCTTGACTATGATAATTAATAATAAGTTAAAATCGTACATAAAATAAGTGAATACAAAATGAGATGGTGGAGAAAATTTGTAGCTCAATTGGATGTTTGGGTTGTGGAGCTTTCATTGTTCTTCTGAACATTGTTGCGAACAACGACAGGTTTAAGGTTAATAATAATCAATCAAGATTGAAGTTAATAGAACAAGCTAAGGGTCAAACATGGAGAAATTTGATTGCTTCACTTCTATCTGAAGTTTGTGCTGAAGATGTTGTTTAAAAGAAGAAGAAGAACAATGAAAGTTTCACAATCAAAATATCTAGCTCAGACATCGAAATCCCACCACAAGAAAGATATCTTGGAAGAGAGTCTAAATATCATCATGAAATGAAAGGGACACAATTGGAACAAAAACAGTTTCTGTCTGCTTTTTTAGCCTAAGCAAGATTTGAGATTAAGTGTCGTCTTTTCAAACAGTACTCGATGCGTATCAACTACAGGTGTGGTTGAAGAAGACAAAAAACTATTGACTGAAACACTGATATCAAACGGTTTCCCACTCAAGCTTATAAGTCGGTTTAAAAATTAGTTTAACTCCACAACCTCTTTTTAATTCTACTGAAAAAAAAGAAATGTTTATTTCTCCATCATTTAGTTAGAGGACTCTCTCCATTCTTGTTCAACTTTGTCGTAGACATCCTCTTAGAGTTAACATTAAGCTCGTCAGATTTTTCAGGGGTTGACCTTCTACCAGGAAAGTCGCTTACTGATCTAGAATATGCCGATGACATAGTTCTATTCGGTGAAGACGCTGACAAAATGCAGAGTCTTCTGACTACCATAAGCAACAATGCGAGCATGTTCGGGATGCGGTTTTCCCCCTCGAAATGCAAAATGTTGCTTCAAGACTGGGTTGCATCGGCACCTGAACTAGTGATAGGGAGTGAAGTAGTCGAACGTGTAGATCACTTCACTTATCTGGGGAGTCTCATCAGTGCTGACGGTCTGGTGACTGACGAAATCTCAGCTCGGATACAGAAAGCTCGATTGGCTTTTGCCAAACTGCGTCACTTATGGCGTAGGCGAGATATCCGTTTTCTGACTAAAGGACGAGTGTACTGTGCAGCAGTTCGTTCCGTTCTCTTATATGGCTGTGAAACATGGCCGTTAAGAGTAGATGTTCGTAGGTTACTAGTATTCGATCATAGATGTTTAAGAAGCATTGCTCGTATATCGTGGGACAGCCGAGTAAGCAATGCTGTCGTTAGGAAACGAGTACTAGGTAAGGATGGCAGATCAATCGATGAAGTGGTGAAACTTCATCAGTTGAGGTGGTTGGGACATGTGTTACGTATGCCTAACCACCGACTGCCTCGACGAGCTATGTTTTGTGGTGTAGGAGTAGGTTGGAAGAAAGTTAGGGGCGGCCAGACCAAAACATGGCACAAATCCATGAAGTCACTGACAAGTGGACTGAGTCATGTTGGTAGATGTAGACTACCTGGTTGGGGTCCGCGAGACGAAAGTCATCAATGGTTAGAGACCTTGAACGACATGGCTCAAAATCGTTTGCAATGGCGCAGGTGCATCCACTCTTTGAGCTCTCTCAAATCCTAATCTTCTGGATTAGCCAGCACCTCTACGTTTGTCTTTCTAACCTTATCTCACTGAATTATATTTTTTTGAATAATATCTTAAACCCTAGTCTTCTTTATTATAACATTAATACCTCTACCATCTTTATCACTATGGGATTTGATTTGACATTTGCGTCTCTGTGCTAATAATGTGGTATGGCAACCTGAACTTATGTACTCATTTACGAAGTTCTACGTTGCAACTGACTGAGTGACATGTAGTTAGAGGAGAACCGAAATTGTATGGTTTTTAATTAGCCATCGAGAAAACACACTACTCTGCTAGACTGTTTGGAATTGAAAAGACTAAACTCAAAATTCTCCACACATGCCTACACATTACAGGGACGATTACGTCATAACCCATTGCATTCACCTGTTCATAGGTTTGTGTGGACAAACATAAATAAAAGTAATCGAACAATGAAATCAAAGCTTATGGAACACTTATTACCTAGATGGTCTGACTGACTGACTGACTTCCGATTCTCAATCGTCCCACCCAAAGATCTCTAATTATTGGTAATGTCAGTCGTGTGAAACCTAGCCACGTTAGTGTGTCTAGTGACATGGATCCATTCAACAGTCGGTGAATTCATAAAATGATATACCGTTTGCGTGTGATCACTCCTAGTTTTCTTCAGACATATTCTTCCTATACCAGCCAAGATAGGCGGCGGTGGTTGAGAATCACTTACTCCTCTTACCCCTAATGGAGTATAGGCCACCGACCAGCGAGTTATTGTTTCTAGTTAGCGTTTTTTTTAGAAAGTTGGATTTATACAGGTTGGAGTCACTAAAACCCCATGCCCAACTCTCCTCCTTTATGCAGGCTTGGGACTGGCAGTAAACCCCTAAAGGATCCAGGAGGAGTTGTAGTTGAGCATACGTGCCTCAACAAGTTCAGTTGATGTTAACTTACTATCTCATCTATTAGTTTGCTATCTTTACCTAGTATCATGCTTCTAACTTTAGTAATACTCACTCTTTCAGAGATTTTTATATATGCAATATTAACCTGTTTGAAACCAATCAACCTATTTTTGTCTCTCTTTAAAACAACACAATCTAGGATCCTCGTAGTCCGATGGCATTGAAAGCGCCATATCGTATGCAATCCGATCAGAATCTTAATCAACCACCTTTAATTATTAAAGATATGCCACAGATGAGCAGTTATGTTCGTGAATTATACGATCAAAAATTACAATATTTACTGGCTCAATTACAAAAACAACAACCTCAACAAACCACACAACCGAAAACAACATCAGTAACGACTGCTGCTGGTACTAGCACTACTGTTGATATCACTAGTCAGCCCATCGCAAGCACAGATTTAAATGAATTGCCTCCAGAACAACTACAACAACAACAGCATCAAACGAAATTGACTACTATTGAAAATAATGCTGATAATCTGATGGAAACAAGTCAAGAAGTAGATAATACTACTACCACTAGTCGTCTTATGTCGACTGATGATGATGAGGATGATGAAGAAGAAGCCACCGGCATTCCTATCGATAATGTTGCTGCTACCACTACTACAACCGCTAACATCAACAGCACAGATGAAGCTAACGCTGATAATTCTGTAGAAATGTCAGATATTAATTAATATTTTCATCCATATTGTATCTCTTTTAATGTCTCATGTGTATAATTTTTTTTTTGATTGTGCTGATTGTATAGAATAAATCTAATTTAAATCAATTTGTTAACATGATTTGTTGAATGGGGGCAGTAAAGTGACTTGGTTTAAATTGTTATAATATTTTCAATTAGAGTTATGAAGATTAGTGTTTTTACATATTTGAAATCATCAATCAATCATTGTTAGACCACCATTGGGAACCTGCGAGATGCAGGAGTCATGGATGAGCACTGCGTCTGATGAGTCCCATACCAGGACGAAACGGCCGCTTTTCAGTGCTTCCAGGTTTCTAATGGTGGTGGTCTAACAATGATTGATTGATTATTTTAAGTGTGTCAATTGTTGCAATTGAATTATTAAGAAATAGATTAACTAACTGGTTGTTAAACGATCCATGGTAGCTTCAAAATACTCGATGAGTTACTTGTTGAATTCTTATTATTTTAGTATTTAATAAAAAGAGTTGGGATAGAAGAGCCTTGTGAATCACTGAATACATTATTGTATAAAAGAAACAATCAATGGAGTACAAACGTGTGTTGTATGTGAGACAATCACCACTGTTGGGGATGTTAGATCCTCAGATCGCGCTTGATGAATGCGTTAATTTTGGATTTCACGTTTTTTGCGAGCATGGTCTGATCGGTTGACCTTGAGATTTCATTTCCCGACAGGAAAATCCTTGTCTGTGATTGACTGCTGTGTATTATATATAGTGTGCTATTTTTGTGACTGTCCCAAGGACGTTTCTATGATGCGTAAATAAACGAGATTTGTGTGCTTGCTGGGTGTTTCTAGAATATCACTTTCTACGCTATATCAAGACTTCTCTTTAGCCGCCGTTACGAGTCAACATATCAAGGTAGCCAGCCTACCTGGACGCTGGTTTATTGTCTAGTTCTTAGTTTATCGACTAAGGTGAACCCGTAATAGTTTCAAGCATACTTAGTGACGAACCTCTAACAATCACCCACCTAAGTAAATGTAAAATTTTCTCTCACCACTGGATTCCATCTTAGTTGTTATCTAGGAGTCGAATGTTCGCACACACATGTCTTTGGTTTGGAGCCTGGCTATTGGGTCGTGGATGCGCACTGTTGTAGAATGCTTCACTGGGTGGGACAAAACAATTGTCCAATGCTTCCTGGTTTACAATGAATGTCTAACTTAGATCGGTCCATAATATCAATAAGTTTGTGGTGGTGTTTCGTTCTCTGTCGTCGTTTGCAACAACGACAGGTCAACAGCAACCGATCGAGGTTAGCAGAACAAGCTACAGATCAAACATGGAGAAATTCGAATACTTCACTTCTATATGAAGTTTGTGCTGATGTTGTTCAGAAAAAGAATGGAAACTCCACAACCAAAACATCCAGCTCAGAGGACGAATCACCACCACAACACCTCAAAGCTCTGTTCAGTAAATTTTCCTCTAACTTTTAATTATTTATCTGCAACCATTGCTGCTTACACTCTCCCAACTCTTATCAAAGTTGAAAACAATGCTTTATACAGAAGGATAGGTTTAAACGAGTTATCTTCGTTAGTTCTTAAAATAGATTGATTTCATAATTACTATTCGACGCTTAACTAGAGTCTAACGATATCAGATACCTGAAAAGAAGATTTAGTCATTAATGGTTTATGTCATTATTCGATTAGAAATCTATTCATTCAATGTGGCTATAATAAATTCAACTTTAATTTTTGATTTTCAATAAACATTCGGTTATATCGTTTAACAAATTCTAATTACACCTAACCTCTAATGCTCATATATATCCTGGATAATTGTGTCTCTGTACTAATGTGATATGACAACCTGAACTTATGTACATAGGTACTAAGTTCTACGTTGTAACTGACTGAGTGACTGACTTATGATGTCCAGAACGATGAAACTGTTGAAGGACAATCGAGTAAACAGGAGTTTGAACTGCTACTCGACTAAACACGCTTTCTATATCTATTTGTTATATATAAAGTACTCATCGTTCAAATGAATTTGCTTGTCATCATTAATTCATGCTGGGGATATTAGAACGAAAAATTACAGAGTTACTCAGTAAAATTGGAAAACCATATCGTAAATCGTTCATTTGCAAAATAACAGTTCATCATATCGAACTTGACTGTTCCTGTTGCAAAACATAAATCGATTGTCACTGTTCATGCGTTTCACACAAATTCCATTGTGTTCCCACTCTTCCTTTCTCGATCTTCCCCCATCTTCTGCTGCCAGACATTATGTTGTCACTCACGTCATATACTACTTATAAGTAGCTCGCACCACACTGATTTCGTAATTTTATTCCGAAATTTCGAATTTCTATGTTTTCACGCCATTCATCAGTCAGTAGTAGTATTTCTCGACCTTAAAGTGGCATTCGACTCTATCGATCGTGATGTTCTGTGGCACTGTCTGTCATTGAAACGTGTACCGCAGAAGTACATTAACCTCATACAGGCTCTCTTTTCGAACCCTACCGGTCGAATGAGAGCTTCTGGTGAACTGTCATTGGAATTTCTTACTTCAAGTGGTGTCCGTCAGGACTGTCCATTCTTGTTGACCTTTAGCTCACATTTCCCTCTCGGAAAATCCTTGGCTGTCATTGGTTGATGGATTATTATTATAGTACGCTATTTCGTGGCTCTCCCAAGGATGTTTTTATCATTGTATAAATAAGCTTGATTGGTGTACTTCGACACTTCTGGGTGCTTGTAGAATACATTCTCTACGCCTTATCAAGACTTCTTGATCTAGTTAGCAGGGCCCGGGGACAATCGTGTCACTGGTATCGTTGACCTTCGTTCCGTTTACTGAGTAAGGTGAACTCGTAACTGCTGATTCTCGCTTAAATATCAGTGACTTTATCTAAAACAGCATATATACAAAGCAGCTGTAGATATCTAACTATGTGACAGTATTCTGTTTCTGTGATGTTTTATATAATCCAAAAATCATCATTTTTTGCCAATTGTAAAAAGTCACAAACACCAACTAGACTGATGATATTTATTAATACAGAGAGAGAGAGAGAAATCAAAGCACATTGAAATAAACATACATCAAATTTTGACTGTCATTATTATAGTAGTATATTATATAAAAGTGAACATTATTATTTTGAAAAATAAGCAGTTAGTTCATTTACACGACGTACATATATTGATTTTTTTGATGTAGAAATAATTTTCAAGTAGTAGTAGTTGATGACTCATTTGAATATTCTTCTTCAATTCTTTCTTTTAATTTCGATGCGTCCAATATATCCTTTGAATAAAAATAATTTTTTGATTATTATTATTACTTAAAATTTAATTAAATTAAAATTGAAATTATGTGCTAGCAGCTATATGTTCGTTCTGTTGTGCTAGACTGATATGTACCTTCTGGTGGTGTTTTGTTCTCTGAGCGGGTTGTTTTGATTGTGAAGCTTTCATTGTTCTTCTACTGAACAACATCATCATCAGCACAAACTTCAGATCGAAGAAGTGAAGTATTCGAATTTCTCCACGTTTGACCTGTAGCTTGTTCTGTTAACCTAGATCTTGATTGGTTGTTGTTGACTTTTGACCTGTCGTTGTTTGCAACTTTGTTTTGATTGCACCCCCCTTTTGATCTGTTTCTTGATCTTATGTCATCTGTGATTTTTCTGATTGGTTGATAAATTGAGTCAAAAACGTGGAGAAATTCGAATGCTTCACTTCTTCTATCTGAAGTTTGTGCTGATGATGTTGTTCAGTAGAAGAACAATGAAAGCTCCACAACCAAAACAACCAGCTCAGAGAACGAAACACCACCACCACAATCATCCACCTGAGCTACAAGTTTTCTTTACCATTTCAAAAATTGATATGTACCTTTCCTACATATATATAAGTTCAACTAGCCAATTTGAGTGAGTAGGTAAGCTGTATCGATCAACCCGATACAAAGTATATGCACAAACTCGTTCATTGTATAAAGATGTACATTCCTTTGAATGTTTAGCCAGCATTTCAACTAACAGCGTATGGCTGCTGCTGTTCCCCTTGGATAAATAAATAAATAAGCCAAATTGTCACTAATAGTGTGCGTCTGTCCAGCACCTCAACCTTGAACTGGTTGATCTAACTTATCAAATGCTGAATCTGTACTGTTTTGAAATGTCAATAATGAAATATGTTGAAATTTTATAGCGTAGACGTGATATCCGTTCGCTAACCAAAGGACGGGTGTACTGCGCAGCAGTTCGCTCTGTCTTACTTTATGGCTGTGAAACATGGCCAGTGAGAGTAGAAGATATTCGTCAGTTATTGGTTTTCGATCACAGGTGTCTTCGAAGCATTGCTCTTATATCCTGGGACACCCGAGTGAGCAACGCTGTTATTAGGAAACAGGTTCTAGGTAAGAATGGCAGATCAATAGATGAAGTAATGAAACTTCATCAGTTGAGGTGGTTGGGACATATCTTGCGTATTCCGAACCACCGACTGCCTCGAAGAGCTTTGTTTCGTGGTGTACGCGTAGGTTGGAAGAAAGATAGGGGCGGCCAGACCAAAACATGGCACAAATCCATGAAATCATTGACGAGTGGACTTAGCCATGTCGGTAATTGTCGACTACCTGGTTGGGGTCTGCGAGATGATAATAATCGATGGTTAGAGACCCTGAATGACATGGCTCAAAACCGTTTGCAATGGCGCCGGTGCATTTATTCTCTGTGTTCTCTCAAATCCTAATCTTCTGGATTCGTCAACACCTCTAGTTTTGTCTTTCTAAACTTATGTCACTGAATCATACTTCTTGAATAATATCTTCTAATCCTAACCTCTCCGATTACTTCTAATACTTTTACAACCTCTTCTACTATTGGATTTGAATTGACAATTACATCTCTGTGCTGATGTGGTATGGCGACATGAACTGATGTACTTACGTACGAAGTTCTACGTTGCATCTGACTGACTGACTCATAAATAGTTCATCACTTTAGTACTTAGTAATTTCAGTGGACATTGAGTATGTACAAGAATGCAACTTTATCTAACCGAAAATGAGTAGTCTATTAGAGTATATTTATAATTTTAGAATGAGTTTACGCCCATCAACCAATCACGTGTTATGTTATCTAGCCTTCAGTTGTTATGAATTTCGACATTTTCATCACCTGCCCATTAATGAGTTTGCTGTGTCCCCCAATAAAACCAATGACCTTAGGCCTCAACCAACAACAACAACTGGAGCTATCAACTTTTGTTGGTGCATGTAGCTTTTTCCATCCTCAGTGGTCAAGCTAGAACACGAAAATACAAAATAGATTTGCTCCTTCTGATTGTTCTATTCTTCAACTCACAAGATTATTTATATACATCGAAATGCATGACGCTGAAGCACGCACCACAACTCAAGACTTCGAATGCGTGCACAACAAAACAGAATAAATTGAGCAATAATTAATTATCAGCAGTTTAATAACAGTTTATAAGTTAAATAATTGGGTCAATGTCGATGTGTTTGTTGATGATTACTGATTGACCTGAGTGCCAAGCTTCTAAATATTCTCTATTGCCCTTTGTCCTCCCCCTATCCAGTAGTTCTACATTGTTCCAATCGAACGGTATGTCCATAGTTGTCCGTATGTATTGATATAAGTGAAGAATTGTCGTGGCGTTTGACTGATAATTGGTGTTCATGTAAACGAAGCTGAAGAGGTCGTCCACTGTATCCTATGTAAATAATATTTGGGTTTTCTTCCTTCGGTCTACATAGGATTGATTGAAGTGATTCAATAGGTTTGTGTGCTAAACCTATTCCAAATGGTCTCAGTAGTCGTGCTGTATGCTCTTTTATTTATGGTAGGATGATCCATTTATTGGTTCCTGTACTTGATTTTGCTTCTGTTGACGATTTCAGTTGATGTTTTTTGATGAAGTTGCGTCGATAGCCGTTCTTTTAGAAGATTGTCATCAGTGTTAGAATATTCATCCAATATCCTAAGAGAATGATTGGTCAAATCCTATTGGTCGATTTCTATTGGTCAAAATTATGGTCGTTTTAACTGTCAATGCCACAGAATTCGATTCTGTTTCCAAATTCGACCAAAATGTATAAATACGCATTATCTGTAACATTTTATGACCACGACCAGGACCCGGTCCCGGATCCCTAGTCCGGGATCCTAATTCTCTTCTGGATTCGGACCTCGTACTTTCTGGATGCTTGTAGAATACAGGTTCTACTTCATATCACGTCTTCTTATTTTTACTAAATATGGGGGTTGGGATAATCGGATTTGAGTAGCATGTCGTGTCGCCGGATCCTCGCTCTCGTTTTCCGACTAGGTAAACTTGTAATAGTTCAAGTATATCAAGTTGACGTGTTTACGTGCAAGCGTAACCATTCTCAATTATACGTCTATATAAAATAATTATTAGTAGTCGAATGCTATCGATGAAGTTGCAATATAACCACTAAATTAAGTGGTATAACACACTACAGTACATTGTCTCATGTTAATTGATGCAAATCAATTGACAAATAATAGAATTGTCTGATCCACTTGACACTTTGCAACAAGACATATATGTATAATCTTGTGCAGCTTACTTCACTTGTCTCATGTCTAGCTTATGCGTATTCACGCCTCACTACACTGAATTGGCTAGCTCTCATTCGCTACGCTTTGCTTTAACGCTTTGTACTTTCATATCTGTCTGCATGTACGATTGCTAGAAATTAACTCATCCAACTGAATCTGTATTTGTCTTGTAATTAACGCCGTTGCACAAACGAGGTTGTCCTAAGTAGGATATACGGAAACTGAAGGGGAGATTTATGTCATAACATACTCTCACTTACTTATTTACTTACTGACTTACACCTATTAACTAACCCCAACGGAGCATAGGCCACCGATCAGTATTCTCCGACTTCGCATGGAGCCCCTCTAGGGCTACTACCGCTCCCATGCCCGTTGGACATGAGGTTGGCGAACCCATACTACAAATAACTAACTCGCTAAAAAGATGCTAACAAGAAAATATTATTCATAGCCTACTCGAACGTACGTAAATAAAGGAGTCTGCTTATGGACCACTAAAAATATCAAAACTTCTTACAGTTAACCACTATTGAGAAAAAAAATCATACGACATATTTTTTTCAGTCATCATATTGTGGTGTGTGCTACTTGTACGAAAGATATAAGTAGTATAAGAAATGGCGTGTAAGAAGTCTCACGGTCAGAAGAGGAAAACGGAAAGCAAACGGAGCAAAAGCAAG